ACCCTTCCTAAGGGCCCCCAAATATTTTTTTTATACGGGGCCCCGCCAAGGTATGCTACGCTTCTGAGTCACTCCATATCTGTGGGAGTCACAGTACAATGATCATACCGCTAAGTATAGCCGCCAATTTTTGAAGGAAAATGCAAAGACATTAATATTCTGTTAAGCCTTCAGTTTTTATACAATTAATTTAAAATAAGTACTATCTTCGACATTTTTTCATTTTTCTACCGTTTAAATAGTTTAATATCATTATACTTTGACCTATTTTATTTTATTTCGTCTGTCCACATAGCGCATAAAATAATTAAGTTTATAGGAGAAAAACGTAATTTGCGTAGAACTGAACTTCCGAGAGCGAAAAGATTGCTGGGCTATCCGAGCAGGGGGTCTAGACAAAGTGCAAATTATAATCGCAAACCAGTCGATAAGTGGTCGAAAAGCCCCTTTTTTGTATGGAGTTTTGACGGATTCGATTTTCGATTCGATCAAAAAGTGCGTTTTGTCTAGGGGGGCTGATCAAACGAAGATTGCGGCTCTTGAGATAGGTAGGTACATTATTGGAAAGCAGGTAGGAGACCAACCTACATATTGGTTTCTAAGATTAGAAAGAAAGAAAGAAAGATACCTACATTTATTACAATGGACATCACACAAATACAGGCAATTACATAGACATGACAGTGGCACGTAATAATGGAAAAAGAAAAAAAAAAAAGTAAAAACGAGTAAACTGGGCAGTGCCACCCATTCACCAACAAGATGCCCACCCACTGCAACGGGACCCCACTCAGCATAACATGCCGTGGCCCACGGTGACGAAGGCAACGGCGCTGGCTTTCAGTGTGCCCCATGCCGAGTGAGGGTCACGGACCATTGGTAAAATAAATAAAATAGTAAGCTGCATAATATTTTCTAAACATACATAAATAGTAATATTAGTGCACAGATAAATACAAAAGGCGGGAAATCGGTAAGGATGAAAGACTACGAAAAGAATACTAGTAATAAAAAGATAAAACTGTTTGTATAGGTGTGTGTGTGTAGTAATAGTAAAGTAATATTGTGATAATGTGTAATCAAAGACATACTCTCTAATCTGTGTGTGTAATATTCGTATAGAGTGACATTGTTACGCGTTGTTGAGTGTCTCGACGCTCGCGATTAAGGTTTGAAAATTGCTAAAATCTTTGGATTGAAGGTCGAATATTATGGAAATCGGGCGTAAGACTAGGCGCAGACCACCGATTTTTAGTTGGCCGATAGTTGGGCTCGATTTTAATTTGTATGAAGAATCTGCCAAATCGAATCGGTGTACTAATGTGCGCACTTCCATACATGCCCATGGTTTGCGCCTAGGCTAAATATTAATCTCAGAATAAACTTNATTTATGGTCGCTTTGTTGACTTACACATTAGGCATGTAAAGCAATAAAGCATCCATAATAAATACATAATAAGTTTTTCAAACCCATACTAACATACTTCTAAGAACATTGTTACTAACCCTACTAACATAAGTAACATAGTCTCAAGATCAAATTGTTACTAACCAAAATATGGACTGATTTGTCTGAAAATAAATTATTTTTATTTGGTTTTAATATTTATTTAAAAGGATTCCAACAATTTAAATTTAAGCTTGTAAATTTTACTGTGTGTAATATTTTAATCAAGATGATAAGTTTTAATAGTATTTGTATGAGCAGAGGAACGAATGCACCACACCACACCTATCCCACAAAAGAATTAAATTGTGAACTCCGTCAGTTTATAATATAACGCGTGAGATTGTAAACTAACAGTGGGTTATGTTAGGTTAGATTGTAATCTAACTACGTCAAATTATAATCTAATTGAAATCACAATTTTACCGTGACATATTACATATATCAGAAACCTATTTTCCATTGTTTGCCGAATGTTCAGCTTCAGTTGCTGCATGGTTCATGGATATAAGAGTTTACTGCCTGAAACATTTTTTGTGGGAACATGTCTCTTACCACCTTAATGCTTTCATTTGAAGTGTGACACATAGCCCCATCTTGATGAAACCAAGTGTTCATGTCATAGCCATGCGATTCTTGCAGCTTTGAAATTAAAAAGCTTTTCAGCATGCCAGTCCATAGCGCTCTTAAAAATTAATCATTTCAATCCAACAAATCAATTAAGCAGGGTAAATCTCATTGCCACCAAGAAGCCTTATACCCGTTTTCACCATCAATCCCTAATTTTTAAGTGACCCCTATGACAACAAAATGCCTGTTAAGTGTTACCATAGGGGTCACTTAAAAATTAGGGATTGATGGTGAAAACTGGCACTAATCTCATTACAGCAGACTTCTTTTTGTGGGGTTACCTTATAAGCAGAGTAAACTCTAATAATCCAAAAACTGCAGTATTCGTCCATCCTGAATCCATTTCGAGGTACCTAACTAACGAAAATTTTGGTTACATTATGTTGACCGAATGATGTATAGGTACGTCAAGGGAAACACATGTACGATCAAATTTAAAAAAGAAAGTAAATTTAAAATAAACTGCATGAAATTTTCTTTAAATTGCAATAGATAAAGTTCTACAAATTTTACAGTTTTTGTTTCCTTGAATTTTCAAGTGCATTATTCTTTCTGGGCCACTGTTAGTTTTTTTTTACATTACTTACCGGAGAAAGATTAAACCTGGGGGATTTTCTAGGATCTAGGTTAACTATCCTACAGATGAGCTATCCCGCAAGGGAAGTTTTTGGGACTTACCTACTTGGCCAACGCTGCCTGCCGGTCGACGCATACTTGCAAAGTCCTGGGTTTTGAGATTGCCCGGCCGGTGCTTACATCCAACAGTCACGGGGGCCTTGCTGCACTCACAACACACACACAGCATAGTATTTCTTAAATACAGCGGGTCTTTACAGTTTTACACTACTATTGCAATGATTGTTATGATTTGTGATGGCAACCGCCGAAAACTTTAGCATTTTTTTTTTCTTCGGCTAAGGACCACAGACATGGATTAGAGGCTAGGACACATATTTTGCTAAACGTCAAAAGTGACGTTTCCTTTCCCATACATTTTTTGACAGTGACAGCCACAGATATGGAGTCACTCCATCACAGTTATGGATAGATGCAGCATGTGTCAAAAATTGTATGAAGCCGAGCGTGCCACTTTTTAAACGTCATTAGTGTCATTTTAGCGAATTTTAGTGATTGCCGCAACGTAAAAGTAATCGTATCATCGTACTGCATTCGCAAAGTCATCGAATGATATCGTGTGACTCGATTCGAAAATTAATTTATTCCGATAAAACTGATAATTTGTTAAATACAAAACCAAAAACATCTTCATTTACCTTTTTAAATAAATTGATTCTTACAAATCATCAAATCTCGTTATTTTTTTTTTTACCCTACCAGCGTTTCAAGACAAAAAATTGTCAAGTGCATGAATACATGGATCAGTATGTCATTGTGTCTTATTGTTATGAGTGGGTACGGTTCCTTGGGATCGGTATGAGTGCACCACATACAGGGACCATGGTTTTAACTCTTAAGAGTACATCGCAGGATATGTATTAAAAACAATGCTACTTTATTCTAATTAATTATTTGTTACTTGTGCTGTTAATTACAATTCTCAATCCGTAAATAATTTCTTCTTTCTACCGTGTTCGTACTACTGTCCTCGTAAAATCATCGTTACCGATTGCTGTAATCGGATTACATGAACATCACTCGACCATGTATGTCCATTTGGACATATCGGAATGGCACGCTTTGACGATCAACTTGCTGTATCTACTCTAATCCATATCTGTGCACTCCATATCTGTGGGAGTCACAGTCACAGTACAATCATATAGATGACCCACGCTGCCCCCCTAGACAAAACGCACTTTTTGATCGAATCAAAAATCGAATCGGTCAAAACTCCATACAAAAAAGGGGCTTTCGACCACTTTTCGATTATAATTTGCACTTTGTCTAGACCCACTGAACTGTCCCACCAAACTCAATGACAGGGGGCGCTACCATCGTTCAACTACAAGGTTTCCAACATGGCAAAAATCGGAACCAGCGATCCGGTATTGACGGTGGCGTCACACTGTCAATGTCATGCATAGGACAGTTCAGTATTTTGGAACTATACGTCATACCTTAGCGGTATGACGTATAGACATATAGTATAGCCAGTATAGCCGCCAATTTTTGAAGGAAAATGCAAAGATATTCTGTGAAGCCTTCAGTTTTTATACAATTAATTTAAAATAAGTACTATCTTTGACGTTTTTTCATTTTTCTGCCGTTTAAATAGTTGAATATCATTATACTTTGACCTATTTTATTTTATTTCGTCTGTCCACATAGCGCATAATATAATTATTAAGTTTATAGGAGAAAAACGTAATTTGCGTAGAACTGAACTTCCGAGAGGGAAAATATTGCTGGGCTATCCGAGCAGATCAAACGAAGATTGGGGTCTTGAGATAGGTACATTATTGGAAAGCAGGTAGGAGACCAACCTACAGATTGTTCTCTAAGATTAAGGTTTGAAAATTGCTAAAATCTTTGGATTGAAGGTCGAATATTATGGAAATCGGGCGTAAGACTAGGCACAGACCACCGATTTTTAGTTGGCCGATAGTTGGGCTCGATTTTAATTTGTATGAAGAATCGGCCAAATCGAATCGGTGTACTTACCTAATGTGCGCACTTCCATACATGCCCATACTGATTAACTGCCCGACTAAACTATCGGCCGACGAAAAATCGATGGTCTGCGCCTAGGCTAGGCTAAATATTAATCTCAGAATAAACTTGTCATTTTGAAATATTTCCCATACTGAAACTGTCAATGTGCCAGTTATACCCATTGGTTATACCAGGAGTTATTCCGAGATGAAAGTCGAAGAAGTACCTATTTGAAGCCTGTAAAAAAAGATAAACATGATGTTATGATTGTAAATAATTTAATTACACACTTTTAATTTTTGCTCTAGACTAGAACCGCGAGGCGTAGCCCCCGCCCCGACTGTCCGCGTACGAGAGCAGCGCGTCGGCGCGCTGGCGCACGACGTTGACGGCGGCGAAGGGCGGCGTGGCGTTGAGCGCGGGCGCGGCGGCCGGCGGCAGCGCAGCGGGCGCGGGCGCGNATGCCGCAGATAGCTCTGGAATTTCGCAAACACCCCACACCTCAACTTCTTCCTCATCACATTCCGTCTGATACCTTAGGTCTCACGGTGCAGACATCCCTCACTCATAAATAATTTATTTATCTTATATTTATGCTGCAGGATAGGGAACTAGAAAATTAGGGGAAAACTAGAGATTTAGGGATACCTAGGGATTTAGTTTTTTTCCTATAGTATAATTATTGTTCATGTGTAGCTGCTAGCCGGTGCCTTTACAAGTGACCACACTTCCACGCACTTAGGCATTTATTATTACACTCTACTACACATTACATTAGTCGGCAGCTGCACAGGTAACTGTACATATTTTATGTAGAGAATACGCAAATTGACGTAAAAATCTCATCATCAATGTGTTACATTTTAGCAACCGTGTTCATAAGAAAGAATTGGATTATTTTTAAAAAAGCCACTGTTTGTAAGGGAGTGGTCCGACCGCCGACGATGAACGAGAAACGAGTAGAACTAGAAACTATAAACGAGCATGGCGATGGTACCTGCTCTTTGCAAATAAGTAAATACTTTGACTTTGACTTGACTTTGACTTTGACTTTATCGTCGGGCTATAAGCGAGTGTGCGAGTGCGATGAGCGATTACTCGCGCCACTCGCCCGCGGTCGCTCAGTCCTGTGCAAACCTGCGCGCGCGACATGTGTATCGTTGAACGAGTATCGCTGAGCGAGTATCGCTGAGCGAGTTTGTTCACACGGAATGGATATCTTTCGTACGTTTCTTGAGCGAGAAAATAGCCGATAGTTAGTCGTTTACTCGCCGGCGGTGGGACCACTACCTAAACCTACCTGAACTAGTATTTTGCTGCAATGTCTCAAGGAATTGAGCTAGCAAGGGTTCGGTGCGGTGCATTCCTTTCAGAACATCGGTGTTGCCTGCCGCGGTCTCCATTATCGCCAAACTCTCAGATACGTTGAAACCGTTTCTAAAATCGAAGTAGGTATTTCAAGTTATAAATTACCAATTTGATGGTTAGTGCACGATACGATGGTAATTAAGTAATAGCACAGATAATGTAATAGATTGTTCTTACTGAAACGTTGCTTTAACAAATTACATATTAATTGAAAGGGATGTGATGTACACATACCTTGCTAAGTCGATAGCGGGCTGCAAGACCCGAGCCCATGGCAGGGCGCCGTAGCGAGCATGCAGCGCCGCCAGCGCCGCCACCAGACGCGGCGGCCGCGCGGCGAGCGGCGGGCCCGCCGGCTGCAGGCCCGCCGGCTGCGGGCCGCCCCACTCGAACAGCGCGGGTTGCTGCGTGCGAGACTGCCGGTACTCCCAGTACAATAGGGATCCGCTCCTATAACCCAGTAAGTGGAAATAGGCGTCATGAAAGAATACATATTCCAACATGACATTACTTACATTATCTTAACATTTACATATTATTCTATATCCCAATCCCAACTAATATTATAAATGCGAAAGTAACTCTGTCTGTCTGTCTGTTACGCTTTCCCGCTTAAACCTCGCAACCGATTTTGATGAAATTTGGCATAGAGATAGTTTGAGTCCCGGGAAAGAACATAGGATAGTTTTTATCACGGTACGGTTTTTGAAACAGGGACGCGCGCGATAAAGTTTTTCTGTGACAGACAAAAATCCACGCGGGCGAAGCCGCGGGCGGAAAGCTAGTTTACATAATAATATATAACTCCAAAGAGGTGTGCGTAAGTTTCTAACTTAGAACTTTACAAGCATTTTACAAGCTAAATAATGCCAAGCTCACAACGGCATTGGTAGTTTTATTGCGTTCCGTCGCGACGTGATGCGTCGCTCGAGTACGCCAACCAGATTTGCGGCGTTTAAAGCAACTCACGCGTCGAGCGAAGTGAGGTGCGGCGCCAGCACGCCGAGGCACAGCGCGGCGGCGGCGGCGGCGTCCAGCGCGCGCCCGCCGGCCTTCAGCGCGTCCGTGCCCGCGCTCGAGCACGCCGCCGCCGACGACGACACCGATCCGTGGGGCACCACCTGGAATATTACCATCATTTACAACAATTTCGCCTGATGAAAATTGGAAGGTGATGATTAGACCGAAGGTGGAAGCGAGATTTACCCAGAATCCGCACGGAAACTGGCTATGTTACCGCCAACTGCCGGATCACAAAAATGCTGGTACCTACTACTTACCTAACATTTGACATCTTTTAGAAATAAATACGTTTTACTTTTTTTTAATGATTGCGATAGATTTAGGTTAGGCAAGATGATGGTAACTATAAGGCCAACTTAAAGCCCTAGGTACTACTAACTAACTAAATCGTGTAGAAAATTTTGCCTGCACTGGGTACCTATCGAACCCGAGATCTCTGGTCTGAAGCAGGTAGTTTCAATTTCATAGCTACTTCCCTGAGAGCGTGTAAACGTGCTTTCGGGAGCCTACTTGCATTTATAAAAAACATTTTGAATTTGACTTTCAGGGATCGTCGGTCGGAAGCACCTCATAGTCTCCGTAGTAGATCTGCGTGAGCAGCGCGAGCGTGATGGCGGCGGAGAGCGCGGCGAAGGCCAGCAGGATGAGGCGCGGGCCGCCGGCGCAGCACCCCCCGCCCGCGCCCGCCCCCGCCCCCGCGCCCGCCTTCAGCGGCACGTCCTCCCGCAGCTCCACCACGCCTGCGGACCACCAACCGGCCAAGCTTCTTTGAGGACAAGGCGTCGTCACTACATGCAGGTGTAAGTATGTACATGTGCATCATACTGACTTACAAGTTACAACCAACGACATCTTACGATCAATAATATTCAGGGATAGAGGCTAAATCATTATGTACAGGGTACAATAAACCATAAATGCAAACAAACCATAAATGGACTAGAAAAGGGTTAAGTTAGCAACACTGACGCCAATTTTGACAAAAGAACAAGTGAATACCTGGGGGGGAGTGCGCCTCCGGGCTATCTCTTGCGCTCATAGTGGCGTGAGCGACTCGCGGCCGCTATGCTGAAACCAAGAATTTATATGAAACAATAACGTGGAAGCGAGTTTGACTGGCTGGATTTAGGGTGCTATATTTGGCCGGACGTTTAACCCTAAAAGCCGGACATACCTTTTTAATATGGGTATACCGTATGTTAATACGGGGGGGCGGGGGGTGCAATTAGTAATCATAGCTCATGATAAGTACTATCAAGTATCCCAACCCAACATCCTGATACGCGCATACAGTGTGCTCGATATTATTCTGTGGCTCGACTTTCGACTGGCGCGGGCGCCCCATAAAAAGCCTAACAAAAGTCGGACAGACCGGACGAAGGAATATTTGGCCGGACAAGTCCGTAAAAAGCCAAACATGTCCGGCTAAAGCCGAACACCTGGGTTGCCAGATTATAGGGTAAGTGCGTTAGTTTTCGTCCAATTATCGGAGTTGCCAACTTTGTGATGCGAAATGAATATCTTAAAATACCCTTACTCATATGTATCATATGTCATTTCAGCCCTTATATAGTCTACTTTACGTTAAAATTATATGACAATAAGTAAATACCACGGGTTTTTTTATAAAAAATATTTTATGCAAAAGAGGCGATTTCACTAGTTTTCGTCCAAAAAAATCAGTTTTCGTCCTAGTGTACGCTAGTTTTCGACCACTGTGTAGAAAAAAGGGTGCAGTTGAATTATTAACTTAACCCAGATGAGCCTGAAACTATTTTTACTTTAGAATTTTGAGATTTTTGGATATACGGTTTATTATGATCCCAGTACCCTACGAAAAATAATTAAAAAAATTATTCACCCCCGGGAAAGCGGGAAAATGATGACCCATACATAGGTCGGTCGGCACAAATACTGCATTTTACTTACCTGTTAAGATCAATAAATAGATATTAAAATAAAACACTTTTTATCAATGAAACATGTATGTATTAGTATGAAAAGGTATTTTTATTTATTTTATGATAATTATGTTAGTCTGTAACAGATTTTTATATTGTGAGATAGTTAAAAAATCATTCTTCAGGATGTAAATGTATGTTGCACTTCACACAAATGTAGTTACATTTTTTTTACATATTTTGCATTTTAGAATCTTACTGACATAGTTGATTAGATGACCTGTTTGATCGTATCGTTTCCAAGGTGGCAGGTACAGGGCAAGGCCCACGTTTTTCACACCGTTTTAAAGTTTCTAATAAGGATCTTGTAACAGGCCGGCCGGAAAACCTAGGTGATCAAGATCTCCACCATCGTTCGTTCGTTCGTTTCAGCCAAATGACGTCCACTGCTGGACAAAGGCCTCCCCCAAGGCTTTCCACAATGAACGGTCCTGCGCTGCCCGCATCCAGGCTCTTCCCGCGACCTTTAATAGATCGTTGGTCAACCTAGTAGGAGGCCTGCCCACGCTACGTCTTCCAGTCCGTGGTCGCCAGTCGAGAACCTTTCTGCCCCAACGGCCATCGTCTCTGCGAGCTATGTGTCCCGCCCACAGCCACTTGATTTTAGGAATTCTGCGAGCTATATCGGTTACTTTGGTTCTCCTGCGGATCTCCTCATTTCTGATTCGATCACGCAGGGAAACTCCGAGCATAGCCCGCTCCATCGCCCTTTGGGTGACCTTGAGCCTTCCTATGAGGCCCATAGTAAGCGACCACGTTTCAGATCCATATACCATGACTGGCAACATACACTGGTCAAAGACTTTTGACTTGAGACACTGCGGTATTTCGGACGTGAGTAGGTATATCGCGAACCTTTCCAGACGCTGCCCAACCGAGTTGGATTCGACGATTGACCTCTTTCTCGAAGTTCTACTAACATTTATCGCTGTATCATTGAATAATTGGTCAAAAGAGTATATAAGAGGGTTACGCCCATTTTTGGGTCCTTCCAACGGCTGAATCTTCATCAGTAACAACGGTATTTGCGTTGTCAGGTGGTTCAAATGTAATGTATTCTGGGACCGGATCATTGCTATTTTCTAGTTCATTCAATATTTCTTGCAAGGACAAAGGTTTCGATCTGAAATAGCAAAATCAAGCATATTCACTCATATAGATCAAATGTACTATGGTTGTGCCGACGGGCCTATGTATGGGTCCAAGGAATCTACGGCTAAATAAAAGAGGGAAAAAATAACGCTGATTTAAATTTTTTTTACATAATAAATCTACAATGTATTTTATTTTAGAGAAATAGTTCCGTATTTTGAAAATAATAACATCAAGTAATTATAATCTTACCTTTTTGAAGACATGTTTTAATTTTTTTTCTCTGCACTTGTTCACTTGCAAATAAAAAAGAGAAATGATTCAGTTTACTGCTTTAGTTGTCATTATAATCAACAAGTACCTCCTAAAGTTTAAAAAAAATACTTTGTTTTGTATAAATAAAATAAAATAACGACAGTAGATTTTTTTATTTCTCATAACCCATGTATGGGTCGGTAGGTTCATCTGGGTTAAAACCAATTCTACAATACAGTAACTATGGATTGTGGTATATAATTTGAAAGGTAATTTTGTTAGCTTTCAAATGATATCAAAAAGATTTAAATAAGTTTCTTACCTAAATTTAGGAAAATATTGCAATAGTTCGAAGGACAAATGGACGAAAACTAATCTACAGGAATAGCTAATTTTGGTTTTCGTCCACCCNCCCAACATTTATTATTACACATACTACTTAAGTAAAAAAAAGTTTTGTCTTTAATTTATTTGTTACCTTCTTAGTTGCATACACAACTAAAAAAAATATACCTAGGTATTAAACTTTCAATGCATCGGTAAAAAAAAAATTAACCCAGTTTTAGAAAGAATGTTCAAAATCCAATTAAGTACTCGTAATAATTTTGGAAACATGTGTGGACAAACATACCTCAAAAATTTGTATATTGGTTTACATTTATATTCACTGGGCATGTCTCGCTGAGACTAGGTAGGTATACTGAAGGCATTAATATCAGTGTTGCCGTTATAGTGCATTTCTCGCTAGATAGCGCAATTCTAAACTCTTCAGCGCTTTTTTTCTCAATACAATGCGCTAAAAAATATTTTTTGGAATCTAGTAGAAAATTGTAAAAATTATTGACGATCGTAAATTTAAGCCAATAAGTTAATTGCCAGAGCCGTAAAACGTTACATAAATTACGATCTGGGAATTCCCCGAAGGATTTTAATTAAAAGTGAATAATTATAAAATCAAGAAATTATAATTATAAAGTTTGTATGTACCTACTTCACGTAGTGATTTATTAGTTAACTTTTACAAATAAAAGTGTATAAATAAATATTATAAAATAAAAAATACTATTGTTGTTGGTTCAGCTTCTTTATACAGGGTGTTAGGTAAATGGGTATATGAGCCGACACTAGCCCATGTTAACATGGGCATATAAATGGTATGGTGAAATCAGAATTTATATCTTCATTTTAATTATTTTAATTTTCATACAAATCGGAATTTATTAAATTTATTTTGTATGAAAATTAAAAAAATCAAAATGATGCTATCAAATTTCTGACTTCACCAAACCATTTATATGTCCATGTTAACATGGGCTAGTGTCGGCTCATATACCCATTTACCTAACACCCTGTATATTGGGAAAGTGGGAGAGGGCCCATTCGATGAATTTGCCACGGGCCTCGAACGGTATAGTTACGCCACTGTCTACTGTGTGCAATCGACATCAAAATATTTTTTTCAATGAAAGTGCCTGAAAATTTTCTACCTACACGTAAGTTACAATGTTTTCTCATTACTTTATAATCCCGTACGACATCTTGACTGTAAAGATATTCCATATTATGTGATAGTACTTTACCACAAACCAAAACTAACACGCGCAAACCTGTGGCAAAAGCCTAGTCAGTCCTATTTTGTGCTTACAAAATAAACACTCATGACACGCGCGTGTTGTTCAAGCTAATTTCATTCGCAAAGAGAATTGGCTCAGCCGAATCAAACAGTACGTGTCGACGCGCCGTCACGTGCTATCTAAGGGCTTACACACAACTGCGAATCGGCGCGATGCGAATTCGCAACGTAAAAAACTGGGACACGAGGGCATTGTTCAAACCAAACGTATTGTCGGCCGCTGACTGTGTCACGCGTTACGCAGTAATCGCTTTTCCATAATTAAACTTCTCGTTTACACCATACCAACTATAAGCCTAGGCGCAGACCATTGATTTTTCGTCGGCCGATAGTTTAGTCGGGCAGTTGATCAGTATGGGCATGTATGGAAGTGCGCACATTACGCCGATTCAAATTGGCTGATTCTTCATACGATTTTAAAATGGGCACAAGTATCGGCCAACTAAAAATCGATGGTCTGCGCCTAGTCTAAGACTAAACTACGTAATAACGTAGTTCTTTCGTGCGTTTTACCCAAATGATGTCCATTGCTGGACAAAGGCCTTCCCCAAGGATTTCCATAGCGACCGGCGACGGACAATACGTTTGGTGTGACCGATGCCGAAGTGCTGCGACGCGAATCAATTCGTAAATTCTAGCTATGCCTCATGGTGGTTCATAGAATTTTACAAAACGATGTTGCATCGCAGTTATGTGTACAAGCCCTAATACGAATAAAACGAGAGATGAACTTCAGGAAAATTATATGAAGTTAATGAATGAGGCGTAATCACTTGATATGAACATGAGGATAAGGAAACCGTACGTAATCAAATATAGAAATCTTCAAGGGAGTGAAATTGGGCATGAAATTAGTTTGAAATTTCTCAAAGACCAAAAGCTTTATTCTGTGCTTCAATTTTCTGTGCTACGAGCATTTTAAAATGGAGCACTACAATGACGAGACTCTTCAATCCAAACATTGCGGTATCGTATGCACCTTTAATGGGAACGAAATAAGAGTGATTTTGCAACAAAATAGTATAGTCTGATGTCCTATCGACTAATTCCCATTATTACCCCGCATTTAAATGTATCATAATATAACCTCGTTGTAAGCAGTCCGTCTGCGTGTTTTATCTGGAAGACAAAAGCAAAATACTATTATTGTTTCACAAGTTCTGTTAGTTTGTTGTCTATTTGTACGTGACAATGTACGACTATTGTGTGCGCTCTCAGGGTTAAGAAAATACTATTCTATTCGATGGGCAGATGCTCTTGGGGTTAGACACGCTTAAAAATAAAATCGTCTCAATGTTCCAAATAACTAATGTTGCAAAAAATGTTTTTATGTATTAAAATCACTAGAATTACACAAAGGAACGAAACAAAGGTCTGGTGTCAATGTTTATTTATTTATTTATTTATTTATTTATTTGAACACCAACAAGGTTACATTGAGGCTTCACAAAAGTAACTATAAAAAAATGACACTTGTTAAATGCAAACTTAATTATAGGTGAAAACATCATGCGTTAGAGACTAAAGCAACAGCAATTAGGGATTAAAAACTAAAAATACTTATTTAATATGGTGTAAAGAAGTCCCTATGCTTGTTCAAATCGGTGAGATTTGTCCAAGCATGTGGACTTGTATTTACGTAAACTAAGGAAAAAAATATCAACATTAACATTATTGGACCTAGACAGGGCATTGTATTGATTAAACATTCTATTTAAAGGGGAAAACAGACCTATATTTGATTTGGAGCTCCTGGTCGCAAACAAGTTGTATCGGGATATCCTAGGCAACTTATAGGGAACGTTTAGATTAACTTTTGAGAGCAGGTTAGGGCAGTCAAAAGCACCGTTGACCAATTTGTATAAAAACGAATTATCAAGCACACAGCGGCGTTCCTGAAGAGTATTTAACTTGAAGTAACGTAATCTATCTTGATAGTGGGGTAATTTTTTTGCCAGGTTGACACTGAATGCCAGATGCCATAAAAACCTTTTTTGGATGCGCTCAAGTTTTTTTATATAAACGTCGTAATGTGGATTCCACACTACACTACAATATTCTAGACCACTTCGCACGAGTGCGTTGTATAAAACTATTTTAGTTTGTGGCTTCTTGAACTCTTTACAGTTTCGCAACACAAATCCAAGTAATTTATAACTCTTATTTACAATGTTATCTATATGAATATTAAATCGCAGTTTATTATCAAGAGTCACTCCCAGGTCACGAATACAATTCAATTCCATAAGTTTGTCAGNGCTTCTCAATTTCAATAGTATAGACCTCGGTCTAGTGCTATTCGCATTCAGTTTCGCTACTCTAGAACAATAGTGTATATCGCTATCATTTACAGGGCATTTAATAACTTTAGCTAGCTGCAATACCATATTGGTTAAGTTTTCCTGCTTGCGCTCGGGTATGTTGGTAATGTTCTTTAATAGTAGTTAATCTTTTTGGCTTACAATAATACCTACCTACTTACTAAAAAAATTTGACTATAAACTTTATTGATATCGTGCAGTTAAACTGCCCACGTACCTAGTTACTTTTCAATTTTGGGGGGAAAAATACTCTTGGGCCCACTCATATACAAAAGTTATTGCGAAAGTTTGAAACTTTATACCAATATTATTTTTTTGATCAATCTTTTATATTTATTCCAATTACTTAGCTACATTCATAAAATAGTTGCTAATTTCCTTGAAAATGTAAGGCGTTATGCATTATGAGTTCTCAATGTTACAGTGATTTAAAACACTTATTTTAATAAGTTCAGTGTGAATATCATAGTTATTTTCAATATTATGTTCATTATCGTACAATCTATTCAAACTGAGAAAGTAATAACTTCAAGACTCTATTTTCCAATTCCTATTAAATCTTATGATTTTTAATAAGCCCCGTTTTTTGCTGGCTTACGCAACAAAGCTGCTTTGTTGTGGCTTTGACACAAATTGATAATACCTCTGATCATGACAATGGGATATTAATAGATACTGTTGTTTGGTAGTCCATTTATTTTGAGAAATATTTGCACACATATCAAGCCTGAAGTATAATTAATCAACAATAAAATTCCGTTTGCTTGATAGACATACTCTTGAATAATTGTTTTCATTGTTTCATGTTATGAAACCATAAGTAGTATCCATATTTTTATAATAGTCTTTTTTTACTTTGTAGCAACCTTTCACAGTTTCAATTTTGAAAATTCTGAAAATTCTGTACCATGTAGTAACTTTATTAAGTTACTTCTGAAATGTTGGATCCATTGAAATGTGATTTCAAACATTTGTTTACGCCATGCTTGGCCAAACTGAATAAAATTAGTCGATGAGATCAGTCAGGATCTTTCCTTGTAGAGCTCTGATTCAGCCTATTTTTAAGCGACTTCAAAAAAGGAGGAGGTTATTATGTTCGGCTGTATGTATGTTTTTTTAATTAATAAACTACATAATATTATTTACAGCCTGTCTAAACTACAACTACTTTTTGACCATTACCTACTCCAAAAGCGATTCTTTTTGTTCCAGTACAGCAATTTTCGCGATGGAAGGCATAAACGTGGTGATGCCAGTGGAGAATGAGATGAAGAAGCCGGCCGACTTCCTCGGCTGTCCAGGGGTGCTGAACGTGACCATGGTCTTCGTGGCAGCGCTGTATGGGACGGTGGGGATCTTTGGATACATCAAATACGGGGATGAGGTGCTGGGCAGCATCACGCTGAATCTGCCTGAAAATGAAGCGTGAGTTCTCCTTAAAATATTTTATTTCAGCAACAGGACGTCGGCGACGGAGCGCAGCACAGGAAGTCCACCCACAGGGTGGACAGATGAGCTCATAAAGGTAGCAGAAAGGCGCTAGATTCAGGTCGCTACAAACCGGACAATATGGATTATTGGGGGAGGCCTATGTTCAGCAGTAACGTCCTGTGGCTGAAATGATGATGATGATGATGAACAGGATGTCCACTTGCAAATATTTATTTCAACAAAAAATACTCCATGACGATATTGCTGGACAAAGGCATTTGTGCCTCCCCGAAGGACCTATTCTACAACTATCCGCCCTGCGCTGCCTGCATCTTGGTACTTTCCGCAGATTCTTACCTTGTTGAAAAGCCTATATTACGTCTCCCGGTGCGCAGTAGCCATTCCAAAACTCTATAATAATAGGGATGGATAGTTAAGCAAAATAGCAAACAGTGTTCAGCTGAAGCAAAATAGCCACGATAGCCGAACGGTGAAGGGGTCGGAGTGGCCGACTCGAGATCTGAGGAACGCGGGTTCGAGTCCCACCGCCGCTCGACTATTGTGGTGAGCCCACTCGTAACACAAGCTTATTTAGCTTACCACGAGGGGCTAACGGGACTATTAGTAATTTGGGCAAGACAAATTGCTAATAATCTTAAAAAAAAAAAGCTATCAAAAACCAGCCAGCCACTTCATCCGTCTGACACCTACGCCTTACAATAGCCGAAGGCTGTTCGCCCTTAGCGCCTTCAAAACTGTTTATAATTACATCAAAGTATTGTGTAAACAAGTGCCTACTACAGGGAGGGATTGCGGAGTCGAGGTTTTGCCTTAATTGGTTTTTCATCCAGCTAATGGAATATTGATAATCGGTACATTGTTTTTGGCTTTAATGTTTTATTTTAAGATAAAAAATAAACTTTTTAAATCAGCGTGTTCAACAATCAAAAGCTCTAATATAAAAAAAATACAGATAAACTTATATTTTGGAGATTAAGGAGTTACTACGGTGGAATCTCTCCGTTTGTGTGTGTTCCAGTTTAGAATATCTAATATCTGTTATAGTATAAGATTCCGCTATAATACGACCTTCACCGAGATGCTTATTTGATTAAACATATTTTATATTCAATTTAACATGTCAATAATTATATTGCATATGGGTTGCCTAATAAATTTCAGTCCAGGATATGATTAATTAATAATTAAAAAAGATTTTTATTTAAATATTTCATCGGTTTGACTATTAAACAAATTCCATACCAATCGAAAGTATATAGCCCATGCCCCATAGAATATGCAAACGTTAGGTCGCCTATTCTTTTCCAGTCATAACTCTCGGGTTGCCAGGTATAAACAGGTAAATTGATAGTAGCATTTTGCACCGGTCTGATAATTTTGGAGGAAAAACAAAGTTGCCATATGTTAAATAGTAATTTCTACTACTCTATTATGTAAATTATTTCAAAAAATGACACCTTTCAGTTTTAATTTCACTTTACAAAATTCGCCAACCGTCATTCAGGACTGATTTTCGCAGGCAACCCTATACCACCGTGTTCATAATGAAATAACTTTATTTTTATTTAAATTTGATTAAATTATCAGACCGGTGCAAAATGCTACTATCAATTTACCTGTTTATACCTGGCAACCCGAAAGTTATGTCTGGAAAAGAATAGGCAACCTAACGTTTGCATATTCTATGGGCTTCATACTTTCGATTGGTATGGAATTTGTTTAATAGTCAAACCGATGAAATATTTAAAAAAAATCTTTTTTTAATTATTTATTTATTTATTTATTTATTTATATGGCATACCAACAACATATATATTATACTCTTATGATTAACATTTATGAACATAACATTTCTGATATATATGTCACTTAAGGGTAAGCACAACATTCATAATTAATCATATCCTGGACTGAAATTTATTAGGCAACCCACAATATGCAATATAATTATTGACATGTTAAATTGAATATAAAATATGTTTAATCAAATAAGCATCTCGGTGAAGGTCGTTTTATAGCGGGATCTTAGACTATTAATGCATATTCTATGAGGACAATATGCGAATTCAAGCCGTTTACGAGCTCATAACACATTTGCCTTTGTGCTGGTATTAAATTATTAATTTCGAAACATGAATCGTAAATGTAGAGTCAACTATGTACGTACCTATTACTAGTTAATTAATATGAATTAATCACCTGTTTCTACATTTCTTAGAATCTAACATTACTAAGAACTTCAACCTAATGAAAATCGACAGAATTACTCCAATTAAAACATTAGTGGCAAGTTTCGTACCTAAAGCATAAACATATCTTCGAGATCTAATTTAATTAACGTCACCGTTATAATATGCATTGTAAATAGTATTAAGTGCCAATAAAGTGAACAGCAATAATAAAACCTTAACAGCATCGTTAAGCCTATTACTAATAAAGGGAGATGTAAAACGTAGTGGATGATGAAAGCAGACTAGGTGTCATCCGCGGATTCCATTGCCTTGAAGTCTGAATAATATCCATAATATATACGTACATAATTTTCGCGCCCGTGCATGTCTAAGTAATAAACACCCGAAGCGATCTTCCCATATATATTAAGCTTAAGCTATAGAGATCTTTCAAACTAGAGGTTTTGACGTTTTGTACAGGAAGGACGTCAGCCATCCAAATACGTTGGAATAAAAATGACAACTAAAGCCTGGTCCGTGAGCACGTAGAATCCCATCCAATGACCCCAAGCTACCCATCCTTGTCCATTCATCCTTTACCAAGTTAGTGTGCGGTCTTGCAAACGCACGGTTGACAACCTGCTAAAAATGTCTAATTTGAAAGAGCCATAGGCATACAAGTATTCCAAGAATGAAATAGAATAGAGTAGAAATATTTATTTGTCTTTGAATAGCGTATACAAAAGGTCGAAAATAACAAAATATGATCACCTACCCTGCCATCAACAATAGCATGCAAATTATATCATATAATTCTTAATATTACTTACATTATATTATAACTTATTGCTGATTATTCCCTATAGCTTAAAAAATCTTGGAGAACTGATTAAACTGTTTAAAGGACAGTTCTTTAATATCTTGAGGAAGTTTATTATAGATTTGGACACACATGCAGAAACAGTTTTTTTGGATCCGAGTATTTTTAAGTGTGTATAGTTGACAGAACAGCACATTATACCGACGTTATTCTTGCAGCATAAAGCACCTACTCTTGCAACTTCGTTAGATGCCTCAATGTGTCATAGCATCATTTGTTGTTGAATGTGTGTGTAATTTTCTCCTATCGCTTGGATCCATAGCACTCAGAATTTACGGACCGCCATGGGTGCCATAAACACGTTAATCACGTCGACATAACGTGTCCTTTCAAATCTCAGAATGTTTATTTCGGACAAACAAATCAATTGATGAAGGTGACCCACCTCGTCAATATAAAAAATACTTAATTAAAAGTGATTTTCTTCAAACCCCTGGATCAAGAGAGACGCTAATTACTAGACAACGAATAGAATTAGTGTCTAAAAAGTTTATAAGCTATTGACAACTACTTACCCTTACTTTCATCCATTTTAGGACCTCAAAGGAAGAAAGTTTTTCCTTAATTTAATCATTACTTTTTAATCCTATTAGCCGCCAAACTATCTGACTCGCCAAATATTATTGGTATTGAAAAATAGGTATAAAGATTTTTCATTTTTAAATGAAAACTATTGTTTTTTGTTGTAAATACGGTCACACTATAACCATGCAAAGATTATGATGTGAAAACCTATTATTTTCCCAGATGTAAAAGGTGCTTTGTGAGAACTGAGAGATCACATATTTCAGGCTGTATCTTTTTAACTATCTTCAGTAAGCAGTTCTGCAATATTATGTTTTGCTACTTCTAGTACGATTAAAACCCATTAATACTCTATTCACAAATTTGCGACACACATGTTAACTCCCTAATTATTCCTAAAGCCGACACCTACGGACAAACAATCCAAGTTACAATATTAAATCGGTTTTAACGGTTTTGGAATCCATCGCACGTGACGCCAGAACGATCTACGTAATTACTATCCGTGGTTTCATGGCCGACAGTTGTGGTTGAACATTAATTACACCAAAATGCTGTGACGGGAAATTCTTATGACGAACAGCTGGTTGTCTCCAGGGAAGTACCAATCTCGTATAGACTGTAGTTATTAGATACTAGCTCTGCCCGCGACATCGTACGCGTGAAAATAGTTTGAATAATATTTCCCGTTGTTGTCTCCGCACTTATTAGCTGCAGGGTGATGTTATATAGCCTAAGGCTGGTTTTAGTGTCACGCGGACTGTCAGTGCGGATCGCTCCGCTCAGCCAGTCTGTATGAACTGCTAAGAAGCGAGCGGTTCCTCCGGACTCTAAAACCACAGAATAAGTAATAGTACAGGTACAGAAGGATTACTCCGCAAGACGATTTAAATAAATGCGAGTCTTGCTACGACGCGATACAGTGGAATTCAGCTCGCACAGCACTACGTACCTACAATTTTATTCACCTACAAGTTTTGTCTCTTTCTATCGCGTGCCTCTGAACTCTTCTTACGCAGTTAGGGTTGCTGTCTAGTGAAAAAATAATTAATCTACTTATTTGTAATGAGGTACGTATGTAGGTAAGTATGCATTCATTATGGAAAACCTTGGGAGAGGCCTTTGTCCAGCAGTGGACGTCATTTGGCTGAAACGAATGAACGCATTCTGAGCAGTAGTCATAGTTGGTTAGGTTCCTATACTATCCTAAGAATTATTGATTACCTACATGCCCAACATACCTTTCAGCATCTTTGGGAAGCGAAAAAAAAAGATAAATCCGGTAGATTACTTTTCGAATTTAAACACCCGAACGCCGCAAAATATTTGTTTCTCTTTATGTCCATTTTTAAATAATACTTCGATCATGGAATTATAATCATACTTACTACAACGCACGCCAGCGTCCTGACGAGCGCGCGCGTGACACTCGACTGATATAATACCCGCCGGCGGGGCGCTTCGCTGTAGGTAATTATCGGATGTACCGCGCGGAGTGAGCCAGGCCTGCTAAAACGCTCCCTAGAAGTTCATACAGATTGGCCGTGCGGAGCGGGTCCGCGTCGGACGGTCCGCGGGACACTAAAACCAGCCTAAAGCCTTCCTCGATAAATGGGCTATCCAACACAAAAATATTTTTTTAAATCGGACCAGTAATTCCTGAGATTAGCGTGTTGGAACAAACTCTTCGGCTTTGTAATTAGTATGGATTGACTCACCGAGAGGACTCCAAGGAATTCAATGTCAATTACTACTGTTTCGATCTGCTATCATACTCATCGTCATGGGAAATAAGTAAAATTTGCATTGTTGAATCGTTAGCATTAAATGAATATTGGAAAAATCGTCTGGCCTCAGTGATTGATTAATGGTAGTTTTTGGCCATTCATTCTGTACGAGTATAACATGTGATATCGCTGCTTATTGCCAATAAATTATTTTTTGGAAGCCGATTTTGACTACTGTCTTCGGGAAATATAAAAATATGGGTAATAATAGCCATTTAAAACAAACGAATCACGGCCAATTTTGATTTGTGGCCCTTTTATTTATAAGCAGCGATATTTTTGTGCTCTCATATCGACAGATTAAGCCATAAGTACAACTTATTTATTTATTTACAATTTATTTCACAAATATAAGGTGTAGAGTCAACCACACCGTCAAAACCGAAAAAATTAAGACTCAAAATACATAGATAGAAAAATTATGACACCTAGTGACCTATATCGTACCTAAGGAGTTTCTTTATCATAAAAGGATTCAGTCAGAAAGAATAATTGTTTATGCCTTATCAAACACTATGATAGTAATCTAGCGTTTATTACTTGCGTGTGAACAAACACAATAGAGAATCAATTATCTCGAGAGTGAACGTAAAGGTATTATACTACTTTGATCTTTAATCTTCTTCTTCTTCTTTAGAATCTTTGATGAAATTGAATGAGGTAATACACTATTAATAGGCTCCACTAATCTTATAAGAGGATGAGAAATTTGAGCTATTTCGCCGCAGTTTCTAGGTTCTATTCCCAGTTGGGACATAAATATCGTTAAAACCACTTCGTGAAATTGTTCTTTGGTTAGTTAGGATCAACATGAGTCTACCTGATTGATGTCAGACGTCATTACGTCACAACGATCAGGGTTGTTACTCCACTTGTTACAACCCACACTAGTGGAGTAATTTATCACGATTGTTAATTAATTTCTTCACAGACCTAAGAGTAAAACCTAAGCCTAGGCACAGACCACCGACTTTTAGTTGGCCTATAGGTTTTTTCCGATTCTAATTTGTATGAAGAATCGGCAGATACCAAATCAATGTAATGTGCGCACTTTCATACATCTCCATGCTGATCAACAGCCCGACCCAACTAACGGCCAACTAAAAATAGGTAGTCTACGCTTAGGCTTAAACTTCTTACTCTTTAAATCAGTTAAAAGATACGCTATAGCTGAATTTCAGGGGACACAATAATATAGAAAATATTAAAAAGAAACTAATTTTATTTCAAAGTCAAATCAAAGATACAGTTCTACTTCGTTAAAATGTACTTAAATTGTTTTGAAATCCAGTTTTTTTGATTGAGTACACTTTTGTTTCAAGAAAAATGCTTTCATAGTTTTTGCCTAGCTTTTGTTAAACGTAAAGTACTTATCGTGCCAACAGACCTTCGATCAACTAAATTGACTACTCAATATTGCCTACTTTGAACTTTGGTTTTTTGTATAAGGTTACAAACCAATCAAGGGTGATATTTAGTGGTAGGCTGGAGTGGAGGCCGCGTACCGAAAAACGCAGCGTGAGACGTCCACCCACAAGGTGGATCGACGACATCATAAAGGTAGCAGGAAGGCGCTGGACGCAGGCCGCTACCAACCGGGCAACATGGAAAGCATTGCGGGAGGCCTATGTACAGCAGTGGACGTCCTATGGCTGAGATGATGATGATGATGATGAGGCTGGTGTACTAAGAGTTCTTACTTGTCGGTAAATACATAAATTACCCACGTGTGAAAGTTAACAGCTTATCCATACTCGCGTGAAATGGCTCGTTTACAAGGTCTGGAATTTGTGGCGAAAAGCGAGTCTACTAGGGTTGCCAAAACTTTAATACAAAGTAAAAAAAACTAGGAATATTTGAACACGGGCATCATTGAAACGTCATGGGAAGGGAAATTCGATAAATCGCTTTAGAGGATGAGAATGGGCAAAGTTGAGTTGGGCAAACCTAATTGAGATTGACAGGTGACAGTCGAAATTACAATATAAATGATTGATTTTCACCAATTAGGGGTATATAAGACTCAAATTCTTATAATAAATAAAAAATACATATCAATAAATACTTACATTATAAGTGAATTTCAGTCTTTTAAAAATAGAAAAGTTCCCTTAAAAGTGTATAACAAGTATATAAATCAACATCAAAATCAAAATCAACACTGATTAATAACAGATAAATCTTTGAATCAAAATAGAAACAAAAATGTTATTTCATTATTTTTTTTATTTAAATAATTTACTTACCTAAGTAAGTCCTACTTGTTATTCTAGTCACTAGACTCGACTCTCCTAGGAATCTATTAAAATAGATATATTGTACTGACACCATCATAAAATTAGCAAATAGGCAAACGCTAGAATTCCTAATTACCTAGTACTGAACGTGCGAAAAATAAAAAGCTAGAGTCTGAAACCTAGGCTAAACCACAAGCGTCGGTAATTAGTAGCCAGCTGCCACTAAGTACAGCTTAGGGCCCAACCTAAGAGGCTATTTGCACATCTAGGTCACAATCCTAAGACCCTGGTAGCCCTGTATCATGTATCACGTTATTTGCGCTCGCTACACACTGAAAACAATCTGACGCGATCTCCTATGTTAACGATAAACGCGACGGAACGCGAAAGCACGCTACCATCATTATCTATACTAATATTATAAAGATATAAAATATGTGTGTTTGTATATTTGTTAAATTGTAAGGGGTAATCTCGGGATCTACTGAACCGATTTTAAAAGTTCTTTCACCAATAGAAAGCCACATTATTGCTGAGTGTCATAGGTTATATAAAAAACCGAAAAAATCCACGCGGGCGAAGCCGCGGGCGGAAAGCTAGTACTAGCTGATATATCAGGCCACTGCTGCAATAGGTATGCGAAATCTTCTAGCTATCAAGCTTCCAGCAGTGATCTTTTGCAAGTGTACTACTATGCTACACGATACATCTAACATTTTAATATACCGTTGTTTGTTAGTGCTATCACACTCGCCACCATTTTTCGCGGTTAATAAAATAAAACCTAAAAGATTTTTTACATATAAATGACAAGAATGGTAAATATGTTTCTGGTAACCCTGGTATATTTGCTCCTGCTACATACAACCTCAAAAACCTCTCTAAACAAGCTTAATTGCTTTTCGCAGAATGGTGACTAAGTATTTGGGTATGTTGGACAACACGTGTCATAATGTTATAAATAGGTAAACCAAAATGATCAAGCTTCAATCGAATAATTTATTCAAAAAAGTTGGATTAGGTAATTTACTCAAAATTTGAGTTGAGACAATGCATCTGAAATATGTATGAAACAGAGTCCTCAATGAGGGCTATCGTTTTTATACTTAACAGTTGGCACCCCTGGCGATTGACAGGACCTTACTCTACAGTGGCGCCATCTTGATGAGTGCAAATGCGATAGTCCTCCTACCACTTTAGTGCTCACCAGTTGGTGCCACTGTCTTCGCTACTAGCAAGTGACAGGACCTTACTCTACAGTGGCGCAAACTGGTGAGCGCTAAAACGATAGCCCTCATTACTTCATGATTTCGCGGACATTATTATTTTAAATTCTTACTTTTTCAAATCGAATCTATGCACCCTGTATTTTTTATGTCATCAATTCTTAATTTATTTTTTCAGGCCAGCGCTAACTGCGAAGATACTGGTAGCCATCGCTGTCTTCTTCACATACTGCCTGCAAATGTACGCGCCTATGGACATCATCTGGTCACGACTCCAGAAGTCGGTCGGGCAGAAGTACCAGAACATGGGCCAAGTTCTGCTGAGGACGCTCAGTGTCACTCTGACCGGTAAGAAGTTTCAATTTGACGTATACCGTTTAATTTTACGAAGACGCGCCCCACCATTCTTCCGCTAATGTTTGAGCGTTATCGGTACACGCTAAATTATCCATGAGTGCACACGCACACTACAATAATGACGCTCGGATTGCTCGCTGCTTGTTTTCGCGGTATAACATAAATCTTCTAAACAACACATAAAATATTATATTTTTAGTCGGAACACGATTTATGAACTTTCTTTATTCAGAACGCTTTCTTCGGCAACTTATTAACGTCAGACCTTGAATTATTAGGCACAATAATGTCTGAAAACTTTTTCCTTTGTAGGTATCTCGGTTCACGGTACTGAGATTTTCCGTCTTGAAATCTAAACGAAATGTCTTTGAAACTTCGTGAACTAACAAAATGTAAGTTAGTAAAAAGACAGTTGGGTTATTTTTTATTTAGATTTGCCCGCGGGTTTGCTCATATCTTAAAGATTTCAAGAAATTTACAACTGTAGATAAGTTGTGCCGGTTGTGCGCTTTTCAATTACTTTATCAAAATCTCCGAGTTTTCTCCATTCTACCTGCAAATTACGTAAGCTGATTTGGAAGTTTCGGTATCTTTCAATTTTGCTGTTATACACTTTGTCTAACTTTCGGTTTGGCGTATAACCAGGCCTGTTCATCTCCGCGAGTTTACATCGAAAACAAAACACGCACGATGGCCCACCTGCAGGATACTATTCGACAAGGCCTCACATACGAGCGAACATTGACTCACGTACGCGTATTCTTGTGTATGATGGAAGAAAATAAAGAAAATGGTGTACTAAATACTGTGCAGTATTTACCTAACTGCCTAAATAATATAAAACACAGAATGTACTTTTTTAAGTTGCCTCAAGACACTAAAAGGTAAATGAGTAGTTAATATTATTCATGATAATTCATGATATTTCCTCCGCCATTTTCCGCAGTTTGGCACCTCACGTCACATTTTACCGAAGTCAGCCCTATAGCTTCGGCGCAGTGCCGATCACTGACGTTTGTCAACAAAATGGTGCTTGACTCTTGAGACAGGCTAAATTACACCATAATCGTTAATGACATTGAGCATACATTTTTTTCAATACCTTCGTGAAGTAAAACTTCTGTACTTAGTACTTATTATTATTCTGTGGTATAACTTCTATTAATTTGGGTACACCCTGTATAAAGAAGTAGACAAACTTCATTGAATTCAATCAAAGACGTAGGTATTCCACTTTGAGTACCCGTTCAAATAGCACCTACGTAATTAATTTCACCCCAAAAGTACCAGGGCAACACAACCTTACAAGACCTATTTCAAACTACACGCAGGAAGATTGAAGGCTAGACAACGCCATTCTTGTGGTGGAGTTTTGGGCCGACGACTGTGTAGGTTTGTTGTCGACACGACAAGAAGAAGAAGAGCTATTTCGATGGGTTTTTTTCGGCACTGCTGAGAAAACTATCAAAAATAACTCCTGTATAAACATTACCAATAGTACGGCAACATAACCTTAATGAAGAATGTAATAATGTCCTGTCTATCAAATAAATTGGCAGCCAGCACTAGGCTGCTGTGTTGTAGGTGCTCTAAGTGGAGTAAAAATAAATTTAATTCCACTTACAGGTGCCTGCCCCAAAATCAAAATATCGATAGGTGCTCTTAGTGGAATAGGTCAGGTGCTATTTGGGCGGGTGCTCAAAGTGGAATACGTCCAATCAAAGGATTCAGGATGAGATCGTTATCGCTACAAGTGCGGGTAGGCGGATTTATTCCGGCCCAAATACTATTGTTGAGAGGCCCTATTGTTAGAGGAAGCTTAACTTCTGAATAGATCTAGAGAAGGGATGTGGTTCGGTTGATAAAACACTTATTAACTTCGCGTCTATGGCTTAACCGTAACTACTAACAATTAAACAAGCTCCCCTGGCTTACCTGGAAGTCTTTAAATAGACTTCGGACGCAGGTTGGCCGTAGTAAGGACAATCTGGTCAGGTGGGGATTCTTGGATGGCTTAAACATGGAGTGCAGGTGCGGTTTTGTTCCCCAGTCGATGAAGCACCTGATGTCATGCCCTGAGTGCCCAAGCAACTGCATGGATTTGATGAGTGCTACTGACAACGCCACTTGTGGCGGAGTTTTGGGCTGACACTGTATAGGATTGTTGTCGACACGAAAAGAAGAAGAACAATTATTGAGGGTTAAACAGGACTCACAAATGAGGATTTCCTTAATTGAACTTACCAGTGGGCGCCACTTTTTTAATGTTAATAATAACATAGTAATAACCTGGCGATCTTCGCAAAGCTTATGTAGAATGCTAATGGTGAAACATTTTTCAAATCAGTCTGGTAGTTTCGGAGCCTATTCAATACACATAAACGCCTTATGTACACTGTTGTATAAACAAATCTTTCCTCTTTCTTTATAGTATTAGTGTAGATGTAGATTACGCCAATGGCATGTGATAGCACCTTACTCGACAGAATCGACAGATGCCTGTACTCATAAGCCGTTTATCGATAAATGTTAAGTTTCTATTTATTTATATTAACCGGCAGACAGTGGTGACTGAGTTTGTTGCGGCGCTTCTTCTCAGCACTTGCCAAATGTTGGTCTCGAAGCGCTGGTAGGGTAAAAAGATTATGAGACATGTAGAGGCTCCTTAAGAGCAAAATGACGATTTGTAAGAACCATTTATTAGTCTAAACAAATAAAGAAATTTTGACTTTGACTTTGAACCATCGAAACTCGTGCAGCACTATTTTCGGAGCATCCATTATAGTCTGGTGCAGCCAATAATCGTGCAATGCACTTGAGATGAAATTAAAGTCAAAACGCTGAGATGTCAATGCTCTGAACTAATTAAATTAAGCACAAGAGAAACATCGAACCAATAATTATATTTATTCATAGAAGTTTAAGACGTCTACAGTCGACAGCTGTGCGTGTCGTTGCAAAATAACATCTGTTACAAATAATATAAGATGCAAACTTATTTATTTTTATTTATTTAAGGCACAGCTACAGAGAACAAACTGCTCTTGTCTGCTGTTGGTAGGTATCTAGCTGTTAACCATGGATATGAAATTATTTAGCTTTTAATCAAAACTTTGAACTTTACTTTTTCAGATCTATCTATACTAAGTAAATGCTGAAGTAACCAAATGTCGGTTTTATAAGTTTGTTAGTTAAGTTTAACGCTTAGGTTAGATTTGTCCAATAAGCTTAGATTAATAAAGCCAACAACAGATTCAGGGCTGTAAGGCTAGTTCAGACATGACAGCATCATCATGAGGTTGCTGAACAGTTCTACATTTACATAAAACCATAACCGCACGGCTACTTCCTCAGTCCCTCGCCTGTAAGAACAACCCCAAAACCGCATAGTTATCGGCGTTTCTTGTCTAACAACACAAAAGCAAGACTCCGCCGCCTCTTTTTATACTTTTCATAGCTTTTTATAAGCCCTAATGTACGACGGAAAGGCCGGACACGCCCTTAAAAAGCCAGACGTGTCCATATGGCACGCATGTCTAAACCAGGTCCAATTTATCATGAAAACTGATTTTTTCTGCAAGAAAAAATATTTTGATATTGGATCGCCAAACAATGACGTAACGATGAAGACCAGTATTCATAATAATATACCTATCAGAGTAGAACCTGAGTGATAGCACATATCATGCACGGAATTCATGCAATTTATGCTCCGGAATTCCTGTTAACGTACCCTAGTTATTTCGCAGATTAAGTTCCGGGAATACGTCAAAGCAATGTTCATTATAAATTGGACAAGGGAGTATGCTCATTTGGTGGAGGATGCTATTAAGGCTGCTTAAGGATGCTAAAGGCCATGTAGTTTTGCACGGGTAACTTATAATTTATAAGTTACCCGTGCAAAACTACATGGCCTTTAGCATCCTTAAGATTTTTATAAGTTATAAATATCCGAGTAAAAAGCGCAGTTCGTTCGTTCGTTTCAGCCGAAAGACGTCCACTGCTGGACAAAGGCCTCCCCCAAGGTTTTCCATAAAGACCGGTCCTGCGCCGCCCGTATCCAGGCACCTCCCGCGACCTTCACCAGATCGTCGGTCCACCTAGTGCAGTAAAAAGATTTTTTTAATACAACTTCAACTGATTATTATTCTAAAAAATTATAAAATACGTAACTTACGTAGGTAGGTAGATTATTATGTCGTCGAATAACAAATGAATAATCTCATAAAACCCAACTACATATTATGTTAAGTGAGATGCAGTCTAGGATGGTACATACTCGTATCTGCCCTGTAAGTGGCTATTCAATCTCGCTTGAAAAGGCCCGAAAAAAGTCCTAGAAAACATGGTGAAACAATCCCACAGGTAGCTTGGGTAAAATTAGATTGATGCGGCCAAAGCTCCTGCAAAGTTCACTTACCACTAACGTTGCCAATGGAAGTTTTGATTAGCGACTCGTGCCAAAGTTTCTGAATCCTCTTATTTGAGACTGAGTTCAAATTGTGTTATAAATACTCAAGTTAGTTTCGCCAAATCCGTAGGCATTGCAACTAAGCCGTAGACAAATTGTTTGTGGCCAAACTTGACGGTTAAAATAGTTACCTTGATATACATCGGGTCTTTTGCCAAGTCAGGTGGCAACCAAAGTTAGTTTACAACTGATACTGAAAAGATACGAAGTCAGCCTCGAATTTTAATATAAGTTTGGCAACGAGTTTCTACGAAAAAAAATTGCAATACCTACCTAGGTTCTAAAATAAATGTGGTGTTATCATTTTTAGGGTTCCGTAGCCAAATGGCAAAAAACGGAACCCTTATAGATTCGTCATGTTTAGACCTTACTTTTGCTTTTGTACGCGATATTATGTGTAGGTACCTATGCGTTTTAATGAATCGAAATCTTTCAGTGCAGAGTATCAATATGCATGAAAATCGCCAACTCTAGGTGCATCAAATTGACTATCCTGTATCGTTAGACAACAGCACGTAGGGTAGACCGGGGACAATAGTACCATTTTTTGGAAATTGATCAATATTGAGAAATCTAATGAAATATAATTTATTCTGTTAGGATGCTGTAAAAACTAGACTCTTAAGCTACAAATTTAAGCATACAGAGTTGAACTATTCTTTCGAATACTTAATGAAAAACGAATTTGAACTGTACGATGTCTCATGTTACAATTGACCCCTACAACGGGTCAATTGTACCAATAATATATGAGGCAATAAAAGTAGTAATGTTTATCTAATCATCACCTTTATTGGTATTCTGTTCTCTTAATCTCCTACAATCATCAGTCTTTATTAATTGAGATCGAAAATATTTAGGGACAAGTATGAAAAATCAACACTTAAATTTAAAAACAAAACAATAACTTTTCTTCCATAAAAACGAAAAAACTAACTGTTTCTACATAATATGCCATCTATTTGGCTCGGATATTGCTTCTGAAACAACAATAAGCATAATAACAATGATAGAAATATCAAAACTGAAAAATCTATTTTTGTATGAGGGTACAATTGACCCCTGGTACAATTGACCCTGATTATTTATAGCTACTACTGCTTCGACCTTTTAAGATTTTTTCATAAGCCTATTCATAAAGGAATAGATCCGTTGATCCGCGATCCGTACTTTTGACTCTACGCCGAGACATCTAAAACAAAACGTTCAAATACTTAGTTACTTACTGAATTAAGCTAAAATGTACATATTCAGAAGGGTTTTAGAAACCTATATTGAAATATTTTAAGTAGGCATTTAGGTACTTATATCACCTTTTTATCGACATCTACCTACTTATTTAATAAAACACATTAAGTATGTATCTAATTAATGCTTAATGCATGCAACTATGAATGAGCCTAGACTATTTTTTCAGTAGGTAGGTATGCCTATAATTGTAAAAATAAAATTGTAAAAATGTAAAATAACCACGTGAATGTTTTATAATAACTTATTTTATTATAAGTATAGATACTTTAAAACCAATTTAAAATATTATGTACCTAGTAAGTATAAAATAAGGTTCCGGGGGTTAATTGTACCACGGGGTTGATTGTACCGCTACAATTGACCCCATGGAGACTGGTACAATTGTTCCAAGTAGGTAGTCAAGAGAACTTCTCCTAAAATTCAGTCATTTTCACAGTGAATGCCAATAATTCGCTGTCGATACAAAGTTTAGAGCCTGGATAAACTATTGACAACAATACTTAGGTAACAAATAGCATATTAGGCAACTTATGGGCTCATACATTTGACATAAAAACTTACTGCGGCTGGGCAAAAAACAAAAATCCTTCCTGTACACCTTCGTTTCTCAGCGCAAGCGCCGCCCACTGGTGAGCGGATGTAAACACAAAAAGCGCATATTCTGACGCTATGCACACAATCTAACGTCGCTTGTATGAAGAAATATCGCCGATGGTACTATTGACCCGTGGTACTATTGTACCCGGTCTACCCTAACACTGACGTGTCTAAATAGTTCCAATAATTATGTGCAAGCAGTTTTAAACATAAGTGTGATAAGTTAGTTTTTCGAGTCCAAAAGCGAAACTAAATGTAACCGTTGTTTGTAATAACTTAATTGAATGTTAATTAAAACGTAGGTAGCAGGCATGCACTCTGCTCATGAAGACGTGTGCTTATGAAGAGCTGCGTTATGAATCTAAAATATATGCAATAAACTTTAATTTATGATCAAATATGTTACGAAGATGGTATACTAAAATCCTTTTACTGCGTTACTTCCTTATTGTACATAGTAAACGACCCCTCGGAATTTAATTTCGTTATAAATCCTACGGAGATGCTAACACATAAGCCTTGGTAACTACTAAATAAATTACTTCTCAAAACTGATGAAAAAGACAAAAAGGTAGATTACTACTCATTTTCAGGAAAAGGCTATTCATAGAAAGTCTCTCACGTTGCCATTGTGATGTTTTCAAAGAAAAGATTAGCCTGTATTGAACATAAAGTAGACTTAAGACTTCACAAAATACTTACCTAATCAGAATCCGAAATACTTATACTTATTCTTACGATGTGCTTTTAGTTCGGTAGTTCCTAAGAAAATTACTTCCTGCATGAATTTTATGACCCGAATAATATCCTGTAAGTCTCTTAGGATGGTAATTTATAAAGTTTGTCGATTCTCAAGTTACACATGGTGCAACTGCGAACGTTTTCCTTGAAACTTTTCAAGCTACTTGAACGTAGAAGTAGTGGTAAGTTTATACTGCCAATAAAGCTTCAAAGTATAAAAATAACGGAACCACCATCATTATTACATTGTAGGTAGACGTAGTTGTAAAATGGCTTTGAAAAGATCTTTAAATTTTTGTCGTTATGCCTTACATACGAAATTGGAGCTAAAAATGGAGGCACAACATTGGTAGGTAGGAAATAACACTCAAGTATAAATACAGGGTGTTAGGTAAATGGGTATATGAGCCCATGTTAGCATGGGCATATAAATGGAATAGTGAAATCAGAAAATTGATATTATCTTCATTTTAATTATTTAAATTTTCATACAAATCGGATTTTATAAAAATTATTTTGTATGAAAATTTAAAAAATAAAATGATGATATCAAATTTCTGACTTCGCCATACCATTTATATGCCCATGTTAACATGGGCTAGTGTCGGCTCATATACCCATTTACCTAACACCCTGTATAGATGTAAGATTAAATTGAAACCCGACTCTACGACCAAACAGTCTAAAATACCTATCTATAATTCAACCATTTTCGAATTTAAGCCTTCTTTATAGTTTAAGATCCTGCATAAAAATGACATGTAAGAAAACTAGTAATTTCCCGTAGTTGGTAATTACTTGTCGTTCAAAAATGACGTCATCTTATATTAACATTTTAAACTCTTTTTCAGTGATCCTGGCCATAGCTGTACCAGATTTAGCTCTCTTGATTGAACTTGTGGGCGCCATCTTTTTCTCAACGTTGGGACTGCTCATCCCCGTAGTGGTACAAACAGTCCACCGCTGGGACCGTGGGCTGGGCAAATACCAGTACATATTGTGGAAGAATGGACTACTATTGTTGTTTTACCTTTTAGTGTTACTGTCTGGTTGTTATTCTGCTGTAAGTAAATTGGTTGCGAAGTTTTTATAGTCTTGAGTCTTACAGTTAAAATAAAGTGCATTTAGTGGTAATGGTACTTAGTCAAGATCTATTTATTGTATGGTAAATGTATGAGTAATTTGAATGGATTGTAAGTTTTAATGGTAAATTCCTTGTAATTATCTATCAATATGTATTTTATGACACCAATAAGCTATTGCTATTTTTATAACATAGGTACAGCCAGTATTACATTGCGAATTCTGCTCGAGTATTAAAAAATATTTTTTTAAAAAACTTAAAATAAGTTAATTATAAATGTAGGTAAGTTTCTTTCCGTGTTAGGTATAATAAAAATGTATTCATTTTTAATAGACTGCTCAGTTCTTGAATATACAATTTTCATACATTTGAAAATTTACCTTTGTCTTTGTTTTATTTATTTATTGAGAAACTCAACAGCAATTTTACAATAATTACATGTTTGAAAACTTTACTGAGATACTTAGCCAATTACTGAGTTTCATAACTGCTACAAATTCATGCAATGATTTTATTGTCGAAAGTGACCCAATTTCAACTTTTCTATTTTTTGGCTCTTTTCAGTAATGTCTCTGGTCTGTTTATTGGACGAGATTGTCCAAGGATCAGTTGTTGTTGCCTAAGACAGATGTTATTTCTAAGAGAAATAAGGTGTGTATAACAATTAAATACAATTATACTTTTCCATATATTATTTTATTATTATTATCAACAATCTTTTACATATTTCCATCACGTGACAGTAATAAGAACCACCAAATTATTTGACATACATAACATCATTTCCATTAAGATCAATATATTGCTTAGAATTTAAAATATATTATATTATAAATTAATATATTATAGGCGATATTTAAGTGATATTAACGCTTAAAATGTGTGATATTATTTCAAATTGGTGACAATGTTTTGGCAATGGTCCCTTAATGTAAATACGGTGTGCTATAAGCCTTTTAACGATATTAAATAAATAAGTAACTCGGTAAAAATCTGGCAAAGGATTTCCAATTAAAAACATTTTCTTGTTAAAGTCCGGTCGCTGAGCACGTAGAATTTCGTCCAATGAACCCAAGTAACCCATCCTTATCGCTCACGCGTAATTATATTGCTGTCGCGACTATGCGACGGGCGGCCGCAGTGAGTGTGCGGACGAAATTCTACGTGCTCGGCGACCGGAATTTAGCTCAAATAACGGTGAATACAGGGTGTCTTGTAGATCAAACAAAAGGATTGTTTTACTGCTTAAATGCAACATATTTCTCCACTGGACCCTGAGTTCAAAGTTCAAATTATAAAAAAAAAGTTTTATAACAAATTGTCATGAGCAATCACTAATTTTTTGAGGAGTTTTGCCGTATTTAATTCCGGATAAAATTAAATAGATTTATTTGCAGCAACAACATAGATATTATAAGCTTAAATATTCCTTATTTTTAACATTTTCTGTTTACACAGATACCTACACAACACTGAATATTACATTTGCAAATAAATATTTTTATATTTGAATAGTTAAATATGAAAGAAACAATAAGTAGGAAATGTATCACTTAATCTAACTTTATGTTGCATATTATATCAAATCAGTTTTTATTTCATTTATTTCGTATAATGTATAACGGCAAAGGATATTTTTTAGGAAAGTACATTATTTATATCGAAAAATACTTTTGTCTGTGACAAGGCTCTTATTTTTTAGCTAAATTGTTATTTGGCATACTGTTATTGACTAGAATATTTTGAGATCAAACTTTTTTATGAAATGACTATGAATATAACTTCATTTATAATATTATTTACATAAATGAATAACTTTATATTACATTTAACTATTCCGTTTAGCTGAAATTACACTATTTCATTACATAAATATTCACTACAAATTCTTTTAACGATTTTATGCATTCTGAATTATATTATTATAGGTATACGTACTTATATTTATTATTATTACCTATAAATATACTTGGAATGTCATTATGCTATACAACATAACGTTAGTAATTGAAATAGTAAATATATGACATTATTGTGCGACATAAATACTAGTATAGTAAATAAGTCATTTTGTAATTTATCTTACGTTAGTTAGCTGCCACTTAGTTGTCAAAAGGCAAGAATAGAATAATAAATAACTATTTATTTATGTACTATTTTTTATAATATTATAATAATATGTTTTGTACATTATGAATGATAAAATGCATATGGTGAGACAACAAAATCAGGCCGTAGAATATTTATTATAATTGGTTACATTAATGGTTACTTGAAACCAGGCTGGAATACTTACAAATGGTGACGTCAAATGGAAGTATAGATGACCTACACTGAACTGTCCCACCAAACTCATTGACAGGGGGGCGCCACCATCGTTCCACTATAATATGGTTTCCAACATGGCAAAAATCGGAACCAGCGATCCGGTATCGACGGTGGCGCCCACCTGTCAATGTCACGCGTGGGACAGTTCAGTGTATTGGGTCTATACAGTCATCGACGGCCGCTCAAATTATTTGACGTTTGTCTACGTCATTTTAAGTAGCATTTAGCTCTCTTCTTGCAGTAACGTTTTATTCGCGATAAAATATAATGAAATATAGACATTCTGCATTCAGTTAAAATAATAGTGCGGTAAAATTTGTGCCAGTACAGACACAGAATAATAATAAGTACTTCGTACAGAAGATTTTCTTCGCGAAGGTATTTAAAAAATGTATGCTCAATGTAGTTAACGATATGGTGTAATTTAGCTTGTCTCAAGAGTCGAGCAGCATTTTGTTGACAAACGTCAGTGATCGGTACTGCGCCGAAGACATAGGGCTGACTTCGGTAAAATGATGTGTGACGTGAGGTGCCAAACTGCGAAAAATGGCGGAGGAAATACATGAATAAGCATGAATTATATTTTGTGTTTCTAATATTATTAAGGCAGTTAAAAAATACTGCACAGTATTAATTGCACCACCGTTTTTACATATGGTTTAATGTCTTTACAATGCAAAGGGGTGAAGAATACGTGCGTGCGTCAATACTCGCTCGTGATTGTCCTGTCGATTTGGTATCTCAGGAGGGGTAGTCGCGCGTGTTTTGTTTTCGATGCAAACTCGCGGAGATGAACAGGCCTGGTACAGAGTACTAAATTAATTAGAGTGAAGTGCTGAAGTCATTATAATAACCTACATACATTTTTGATAAAATGTAACTAATTTAGTACCTATGATTTTTTATCATAATGATCATTTTCAAAACAATGTTTTTTTCAGATAGAGATTTCATAATAATGTATGCAATTTCATGACATTTTTTATATTCAATAATACATAATAATAAATGTATTTTTTAAATTTTAATATGACTAGATGCATTGCCATTTTCCATACAATATATTTGACTAATAGAATTTATAGAATTTGCAAACAAGTTTTGGTACATGAACGATATGTTAAGTAAATATTATCACACAAAATATATCAGTTCAGTTTCTTCAACATAAACATTTAGGCCAATATACATTATAACAAAAATGTGTCAATAAAATTAACTGTAGAAATGCGCATTGAAAACTTAATTGAATAAAATAAAAATTTGTACTTTTTAAGTGTTTAAAATAAAGAGTAATTCTTTGGTTAATATTTACTTACTTACAACGCTAAATATTTGAGTGCAATGATATTCATTTCACTTACTATTCATTCACTTATACTAGAAGCTTTAAAACTGACAAAAATAAATGAAAAACACTTCGCAATAACTTTGTCGCGTAGCAACACTGACAATACTTTTAAGCCTGGCAACACATACCTGACAAATGAGATCTTCATAGCAAAATCATCCAATACGTTGTAAGGAATGCTTGAATTGGAGCAACTTACTGAGATTCGTGTAGACCAGGTCTTGTGGACTGGATATTATGAAGTATACCAACCCGAGAATGGATAGGACGGCCCGCCATATGGAGAAGTGAGTCCAAGTGTGGTAAAACGTTGGTATTGTCGGCTGGAAGAAGAGAGACAAACGATTTTTAACAGACTTCAAAAAATGACTATGTTCGGCTGTATGTATTTTAAAGTACATACCAACATAGATTCATTATCTGTCGATATGATTTAAGTGATATTGATATTGATGCAATAAATGATTTGATTTGATTTGATTTGATTTGAGTGATAAATTGTTTAAAAATTCCTTAGCTTAGTGTAAATAGACGTTTTTTCTAAGCAATTTATAATCAACTACCAACACTACAGACTGAATGATATGTCAAAGCTAGCGGATTTTACAGACCAAGATCAATAGTAGCATACACGCTTATTCGGTTAAAACAAGAGAACTGGGCCTACGAAAGATTTATTATTTTCGCACATGTCACATGCCTGCTGTCCTTTTTTCGGACATCAGGCTGATTCAAGTCTGCAGTCCTTTTTTTCCGTGAGTAAATGTTTTACGCGCGGCCGATTTGGACGATTGAAACCCGACGGTGTCTTCTGGAGCCCAATGAAACGGAGCCGCGAATTTTGCACTATAGTTATAGCGATAGTTCCTGAGTTAGAGGAGCGGCATAGGAGGGGTGATTTTGACAAATTTTGATGTGACAAACATACAATTCTGAAGTCTCACTGACATTTGACGGTCACGAAAACACTCTCCCTTGCCATGCCTCAGGCACTAACAGGCATCTCTTTTTATCACACAGTGTTTCTGCTAGTGACATCTCGCTTACTCAGTTCTTTGTTGCTCTATTCCGCTAGGTATATTAACATTAAGGTCCTAACTACTGCCCACTTTGAGAATAAATTATTTTTAGCGCCCCCCATTTTTGTAGTCAAGAGTCGAGCTCAGTCGGTGTCTAAGAGTCCTCCTAGTAGATGACGCCTCCCAAGCCTCTACACAACGTAACGATTTTTTTTCTGGGTCTCTTACCGCCCCCCTTTAATCCTGCAGCGCCCACAAGGGGCGTTATCGCCCACTTTGGGAAAGACTGTCCTAACTTAACTAGAGCGCAGAAAATTTGAGCTGAATGCTAAAATATCCAAAATAACTTACCGTAGTAACATTCTGCGTAATGTTGAAGACGAGGTGATTGTATTGGCACACCATAAGCTCGTCATACATCCTCGCGGCGGTGCACACTAGCATACAAGCTGTGTACAGTATCACTAGCACTATGGGTTGGAAGTATGGTTGTAGACCTCGGGTGATATCCATGCTTGTTACGTCCAATCTGGAAGGAATATAATAAGTTAATAACTATTTAATAGCAGGATTCCAGGCCCTAAATGTTCGGATTATAAGTCTCATCGAAACGCTTAGTGCGAGCTGGTGGAATGTCGACAATATAGGGATGGAACGCTAACCTGCGTCTGATTCCCCAGTGACGGAAGGGAGCTGGTGGAATGAGGGCTATCGTTTTAGCGCTCACCAGTTAGCGCCACTGTAGAGTAAGGTCCTGTCACTTGCTAGTAGCGAAGACAGTGGCACCAACTGGTGAGCGCGAAAGTGGTAGGAGGACTATCGCATTTGCACTCATCAAGATGGCGCCACTGTAGAGTAAGGTCCTGTCAATCGCCAGGGGTGCCAACTGTTAAGTATAAAAACGATAGCCCTCTTTCGCACATTCTCCAAAGTGTAGCCTGTAGAATTAGGCTTTTAAGCGCTTTAGGTGGCGAAAATATTACTTGTTATAAATGGGGGTATAAGAAAAGTTTACTTTACAGACATTATGGTTACAACACAGTCATAGGCTTAATGTTAAAAAGTCTAGCTGGAACAAGAAAAAGAGTAGTGGAAAGTCCATCATGGTATGCAAGTCAGACGTAAGCCAACAAATACCATAGTCTACAGCCTCCGATGTTTTTCATCCAGCCATTACCTGTATCTTACCTTTGTAAAGTGAGGTATTATTTAATCCACGTTTAGACAGTTTTACGATAAACTAATATAATCGGCCGTTTGGTGTAGTGGTTCGAAACGGACTACTATTCCGGAGGTAGCGGGTTCGATTCCCGCACAGTACAAACATTTGTGTGCATGAACATATTTGTTTGTATTGGACTGGGTGTTTTCTATGTATAATAAGTATGTATTTACAAAACAAAAGTATTTAAGTATGTTTATATCCGTTGTCTAGTACCCATAGTACAAGTTTTGCTTAGTTTGGGACTAGAAGCGCAGTGTAAAATGTCCAAGGATATTTATTTTATTATTTATTATTATTATTAATCACGATTTTTCTATAAACTCACCTATCCAAAACAGACAGCAAGCACAGCGCACAGAAGAAGTAATACGATGCCACGTAAGGCATTGTTACCACTGCATGGAACGACAAGTGTCCAGCGTCTAAGCCATCCGAGTAGCTGATAAGGAGCAGGTGCATCAGCGATAAGCCTCCTAAGATGCCGTGGCACGCCGGTGCACAGTTACGCCAAGCTTTTTGGACTGTTAACGCCACGTCGAGAGGAGTTACGTCGCCTAATCTGGAAGTGGTTAAAGTAGAATGTTATTTGTAAGTATCAACATTATTGGGTAGTTTACAGCAACAATAAGAGTAGGCGCACACCGTTGATTTTTCGTCGGCCGATAGTTTAGTCGGGCAGTTGATCAGTATGGGCATGTATGGGAGTGCGCACACTACGCCGATTCGATTTGGCCGATTCTTCATACAATTTAAAATCGGGCACAACTATCGGCCAACTAAAATCAATGGTGTGCGCCTACTCTAAATAATTCATTCTATGTTATCAAATCAAGACCCATGGAATAAGAACGAACTACGACATTTTTATTTGACAGATCAATAAAGCCACCTCATTTTGAAAGTACAGAACTTAAAATTAAAATCTTTGTGGACAATAATGAAGTGTTATAACAATAACAAGTATTCATTTAATTCAAATCGGTATAATATTTATAAAAATTACTATAAATTTAACAGCATGTGCCCTCTACAAAATATGGACTCGACATGCAGATGTGTTAAGAACTATGACACAGACCAAAATTCAATCTATTCTTTAAAGTATTGTAATATAAAAAATAATTAAGTACCTTAAATATTTATCACCGTCTCCACTCTGCTGTGTCTCCAAGATCCTATCTCTAGAGACAGCTCGGAACGTCCCACCCCCTTGCAAATATATTTTCTCCGGTCTACGTGACCCAAAGGGATGGAGTCGGTCATCGTTGGGAGAAGTCACCGGAGATGGGGATGAGAATGGGTTGTCGATGTACTGGTCCTGGTACGTGTTGGATTCAAGACTTTCCAGCATTGCTGAGAGATCTGTTGGCCGAGCTGAAATAAAAAAACATGTGTCATTAAAATATGTGGAATAAGGATAGCAGTAAGAATTCTTCTATGAATAAGTTGTGTGTGATTTGTTAGTTTAAGTGTGGATTAAATTTTATTATCATTTTCATACATAATACAGCAACTATCTATTGTTACGTTATGTGTAAAAAAATAAAGACATAGCTGTTACTTTATTACATGGGTCCAAATTGGGGTCCCTAAACCAATGGTCCATTAGTATGTAATATTTTCAGAGTATGGTATAAACAGTAGGTTTTAGGTATGTACAGCCAAACTTACCTGGTTTAGCTCCAAGCTTTGACTTGGTGCTTGGTTTAAACACTTTTGGGCTGACATCCTTGCCATTAGCATTAGTATCCTGTCTCTCATCTCTGGATTTCCTTTTAGTCTTCCGGGGTTTGTGTCGCAATTCCTTTGACGTTCCGTTGTTGTTTTCAACGTCATTTGCTTCAATCTCCAACTCACCGCTGAGGGTAACCACTTCATCTCTGTTGTATTCTTTTAAGTAGTCATCAACCTGAAAACATTGGGTTAAAGATTTAACATTTTACAAATAAAACATTGCACCAAACAACTTAGGCTTTAGGTAATAACTATAAACTATAAAACTAAAACTACGAAGTACATATTAGTTTCAAGTTCAAGATCAAAAATAGATATTTCATTAAATTAAACCTAAACTAATTAAAGTATTATTAAATTTGTTAATTACGTGATAACATAAAGGATCTCTATATTGGATTTTACTTTCTAAGTGCAAAAAGGATACTTCTCTGCTAAAATAAATGTCAAATTCTACTGTATTTATAAACTCACCTTTTCCAAAGCACTAAGACTTGAACCAGGAACTTCAAAATCATGCAAATCTCTGTCTCTATGCTTAGAAGAGTGCCTTTTTTTCTTCCTATAAGAAGGACTCCGTTTCTCCTTATGTCCACTTGAAGGCCTCGACAGAGACTTCATAAACTTCTCATCTAAACCATTAGGATCGTGCGAGTAGAAAACAAACGAAGGATTCTTGTCCTTATCAGACTTTTTTATCTCTTGCTCTACAAAACCTAAGATACCTTGCTTTAGTTGCTCATGTATAGGCAACTCCACAGACTCGTGTTCGGAGTTTATCCAACTTTCCCGCGCTTTGGCCTTGTCTGGGGGAGGTTCTGGCGCGTTTTCGACGGAGGACGTGCCTTCTGCTAAGTCCTGGGCCTCTGCATGGCCATTTGACAGTTTTCTCGACCCAGACCTAGATCGAGACCTCTGCCTGCTTTTGTGCTTCGGAGACGGCGATCGAGCCGACGTGTGAACCTCAGCTATCTCCTCTTTCACGTCCACACTTTTGCCCGGCTTCATAATTGATTAACTTCTCTAAAACCCACGCAAAACTAGAAATACCAAAGCGCTTTCAAACACGGCCGAAAACAAACAAAATCCACATGGCTATGTTTGGAAACAAAACGTAGACAAAAAGCAATAAGTTTGTTTAACTCATGACTTATTTTTTAGGACCGTTCAACAGTTTTATTACTATTTTTAATTAAAAATCTTAAATCTACAAACAAAGGCGAAAACTGCACTTTTGAAATGTCAAATGTCACGTCAAATCCACCAATGACGTCATTGTGACGTCACTGATAAAACGGCTGCGTTCCGTTCTACCGAACATTTGCTAAACAGCGCGTTCCGATTTTTATAAATTCTCCGGAATGGATGGTGGAGAACCTCCACCGCCTGAGATCCCGTGAAGTAAGAACGAACGGCCATAATAATATAAATACTGTTTAAATAAGTACAAAATGTACCTTACCTACTTAAGATTTTGAAAGGATTGATCATTGAAATGTTATGAATCATGTTTCATCCAAACAGCCACCGGAGACTGTGGGTTGTTTGTAATGTGGTTTGTAAGCTGTTTCATTATTTTCAGATTTACGGCAACCAATGCCGCTGGCTTAATAAAACAATTTTCTTTAGTTACCTTAGCTGATTGCGACACAGCTACACAGGTTCTATTGATGATAGCTGACCCGGCGAACTTCGTACCGCCTTAGCGTAGAGATTTTCTTTATATTTTTTTCCGTAAAAACCTTGTACAGAGTATTAGAAAACTACAAAAAAAAAATCAGCCAAATCGGTCAAGCCGTTTTCATGTTATGTCGTGACAACGGAAAACGGGTTTCATTTTTATATTATAAAAATAGATAGATAGATGATGGTGCAGAAAAATAGTCTTTATAATATTTGGTAGATCTAAATGGAGGCCAAAATAAGTTTCCATTGTTGCTTTTTACAGTGTATGTATTTGTTTTAAGTTTTTTAAAATGAAATAGGAATAAGTTTTCACAGTTTATGATTCTGACGTAGTAATCTGTGACATTAAGAAAAAAACAGAGCGAAACCAAAGTCAAACGAATTAATAATTACCGACATTTAAAAAAAGTCGTGACTACCTGCGAGAATATAAAGTAAACTTGAATGTTGTAAGACGTTTAAAAATTCCCGAGAAGGCCGAATTCTTTCCTCGAAGGCCGCGGACTTTGTCGTTTCCACGGAAAGCATGATATCCTTTGATAGTGTATCGGTGGCTAACACCTCGCTGGCGCCGCGCCCGTGCCAGGTGGAGATTGGACTGCTCAGAAATTCGGAATGTTGCTGACCTTCGGACAACGCCTTAGGAGGTGAGAGGCATAAGCTACTAGCGTTGAATCATTTCTGTGTCGCTAACTTCTGTAGAATGATTCAAATTAATTTGCACCTTACAATGTTGCTGCCGTAATTGTTTTACTTGGCAGACTACTTCACATAAAAATTCTCTAAATAATGAAAAAGTAGTAATGTAAGAGTAGTTTTCGAGGAAATGATCAAAACATACTAAGTACTTATCAATTTCAGCCATAGGACGTCCACTGTTGAACATAGGCCTCCCCCAATGATTTCCACAATGGCCGGTTAGTGGCGGCCTGCATCCAGCGCCTTCCCGCTGCCTTTATGAGGTCGTCTACGTACTTACTTAGTTAGCCTTTAAATAAGACCTTATTAATTTGTGGAAATTAATAGAGTAACATCCCCAGTACCTCCTACCTAGTATTTGCTTTTACATGCACATTTTTTTTTCAAAGAATTCCAATACTTTTATTCTGGTTTATTGGTAATAAAAACATTTTTTTTGGTAGCTTGGCGCAACTGCTGAGTTCAGGCTAGCAAGCAACTCCGTCACGACGAGAGCGGAAACAGGGTAAGTGGGAAAAATTTATATTAATTCATTACAGGAAATTATTATATTGAAATGATATTCGGTTAGAATATTTGCGGAGTTATTTATTACTGTCGAAAGTGACGAACCATTCTTCAACCTTTTTAGAGGACAAAGAACACCTGCACCTACAACCACAGTTCTTTACACCGCCACAGATGGCACCAGCGCGTTATCCTTGCTATTTTATGAGTGGTATGAAGTTCGCCGGATCACTTTAAAACAAATCAGCTGTTCTATCGTGTAGTCTAGCAATCCCGAAACTTGAGACTTGGACCATACTATCAACGGACTAGGAAAATATTATTTATATGCACTTAATCTTTAGGTAGCTACGAGTGTGCGCACCAATTGTTATGTAGGAACCTATAGCCATAATTTAATGGTGCCATTTGCATTATTTTGTAAGGGTAATAAATTTAAGTAGGTAGCTGTATAAACTGCCACCAGGACATGGTAGGTAGGCAGATACTGTCGTCAAATAATATTCTGTTTTCGTTTAATACCAACAATTTATAGCACCCGTGGTCTTGACTGTTAAAGAAGTGGGTTCCCCCTAGTGGTTCCGGCTTCGATATCCAATTTGGTATTACGTTTGAGGGCCTTAGGAGATCCAGATTCCAGACCCATACCCAATTTACCCATAGCGTTACTTAAAAAAATAGTTACACACATTTCAAATGGGATATGGGACGATTCCCACCTCTCGTTCCCACCGTTGCAACACCTGTGTAGCCAGGATCTACAGCTTGACCGCCACAAAAATGCAACCAATGAAGATCAAATTTGTCCCGGGGGAAAGTTAAACTGTCATTAGACCCGCAACAAAATTATTAGAAGAACATAGGAGGAGTTCAAATTCGTTCGAATTTCAAATGGGATGCCTCCCAGCTGGCATCCTTCCTTTAACTTTGTAAATGTTTAGGATTTGTGCCCGCTTTATGTGAACGCTATACCTATGGTTTCTAAGTCAGAGGAAAAGAAATTTACCTACCGCGAAAGGACATAGGGTAGGATTAAGCTACTGATTCTTTAAATGAAAGTGTTCGACAAAAAATCTGGTTCATCTTTAGATATTTGTGTAGATATGCATGAGGTTACATCAACCGATAATAAGGCTTAAATAAACCTAAAGATCTCTGACAACCCTTATAGTTACAAAATCAAACAAATTACCTTCTCCGTCAATTCCAATCACATTATTACCAGATGAGACACCGAAGCTTAGTCATTGATTGCCCAAGAAAACAAAAATGCTTGCCATTTAAGTTTATTATTGGTTTCACCTTCCTATATTGAGGCTGAGTAGGATTACTAATGTTTGGCCAAAAAAAGTTTCCCAAATTATCACATGGCAAACAACGTTTCGCAAATTTTCATTTGGCAAATTCTCATTTGGCAAAACAACTTATTGCAAACTTTTAATTCGCAAATGTCTTTTTTGGCATATTATTGTTTAGCAAATTATTGTTTGGCAAAGTATGTTTTGCCAAATGTTTCATTTGGCAAAAATATTTCACGATAAACTATTTACAAAATAATTATTTTGGTGCATAGAATGGAATACAAATTAGCTTGTGGTTATTATTTTGTTTAGTGGGTAGTTAATATAAAATTTGTTCTAAATTTATTTTCATATTTCATTATTTTTATCGAAACTAAATGATTAATTAACAATAGAGGTGATTCTAGCGCTCGGCGGCCGCTGCCGCGGCACGCTTCGCTCGCCTTCGCGCGTTAAGGGTCACTGTTCTAACCTAACCTAACCTACTGTTTTCTGCAAAACCTACTTTCGCATCCATACTATTTTCTGCAATCTCTTTGTTTAACATAAAATTCTTGTGAAAACCATGATCATTTGCCTTGTGCTTTAATTTGTGGGTAACGGTGGGTAAGCATGTGAAGTGTCAATTTGACCAAATAAATTATTTGGGATATAATATTTGGCAAAATAAAACATTTGCTATATAAACATTTGCCAAGTAAAATTTGACCAAATGATATTTTGACCAAATGAATTAGTTGCGAAAAGTACATTTGCTAAAAGTTCATTTGGGAAATGAAACTTTGGCGATAAGTTGTTTGCGAAGTGAAATTTGGCGAAAAGTAATTTGGCCAAACGGAAGGATACCGGCTGAGTAGCTGAGCGTAACGCTAGGGATCTGACGCAGAATGTGCACTTCGCAATATGCGCTTTTTCTATCCAGATATAAGCTCAAGAGTTTCATAATCATCATTATTTCAGCGACAGGTCGTCCACTGCTGAACATACGCCTCTCCCAATGACTTCCACTTCACACGGTTGGTAGCGGCCTGCATCCAGCGCCTTCCTGCTACCTTTATCAGGTCGTCGGTCAACCTTATGGGTGGACGTCACACGCTGCGTCAGCTCAAGAGTTTGTTTGTATAAAATTTGTATGTAAAAGTGCGCATTTTTGCGAAGTTCCTCTGTGTCGGACCAGACACTAGGTACTACCATTATGATGTAGCGTCAGACGTTTCAGCAGCACATTGAAGCACTGGATCTTTAATAATTCTCCTGCACTCATTCAAGTAAATAAGGCATACTGGAGATCTACTTACGCCCGTATTCACAAACATTACTATGAAGTCTCACAGATCACAGTGCGCGTGGACGCACAGGGTGACACATGAACCAATCACAGAGCTCTATTCAACGCTGTACCTACGTTCGATTTGCTGCTTCACTTAAGTAAGCATCGTTTGTGAACGCTTTAATATCGACGTACTTAAGTAAGTAACGATTTTACTCGTGCCTACATAGGTTACAGCATAACAGATTTGTAGTAAGAATCTTTCCGATATGTGGTAGGTGGTGAGGGTAGGTAATACCTAATAGCTTTAAACGCAAGGCATGATCCTGAGCCTCCAATGTACCTACTATAAACAGTTTTGATTGATCACATCGATGTAATCGTCTATGTTTACGAAGCGTCTACAATCAATCTTGTTTCTGTTTAGGTTTATCCAAGAATTAAATGGGCAAGGACGACGAACTCTACCATTTAGGTAACGGTTCTTTAAGATTTCTGGCATAGGTAATATAAATGTAGTTCGTTTCGATTTTTTTTTACTTTTATAAGGAAAGTGTGTCCCGCCAGGGAATCGAACCCACAACAGTCTTTCGGCTACTCTTTATTTAGTCGACAGAGGCTTAAAAGGCAATGTTAAGATTGTCGTTGACTTGACGACTAACAAGAATAAATGTTCAAAGTTGATTGAAGGCACTTAAACCAACAAATCAATTAGTATTACAAAAACAAAAGCAAGCTAATCGGTACATTGCAATAAGATGATAAGTTGAACATCAAGTGCCATTCATTCTTACACAACCAGTACAACCACCCCCCACTTTTCGACCTCCCCTCCCCGCGTTTGGGGAAAGGCACTTTCACTCGTGGAATTCGTCTGCTTGTGACGTCATCTTTGCGCAAGGTGATGCAATCCACCATTTTGTGAACTTTTGTCTGGTCTCATTTGTTTTTGGAACAGTTTTCTAGGCCGATTGTGGTTGGAAAATTCACGGTGTAATTTAACTAGATTCTGTGCAAATAGAAATTAGCAAATTGCCAAAATATACTAACATTGACACTATTTCGAGTGACTGAAATGGGTGACTTAGGTTTAACTATGTTTTTTAAAAGGAAGAGGTTCTAAATTTGTCTGTTTATCTAGCTTCTAGATCTACTTCTAGAAATATTTAGAATAGGTACCTATTCAGCTCTGAAATTAAAAGAGTTGTAGTACCTACTATTAAAAAAAAACAGGTTTTCTCCACGAGCTCTCAACTATAAATATCCTTAAGTGAAACAAAACATTTTAATAAATGGCCATTTATTTATTTATTTTTAAATTACATTACAATGATTTATAAAATCTAAATTAGTTTGGTCCTGTAATAGTGTTATTATAAAACTAACGCTAACTGCGTTGCTTAAGTACAATAACATTAATTCTCTTGTAACTTAGTTATACCCCATCACCTTTACACGATACAATGTACAGTCGGCGGGTACACTCAATCACAATTTTACAAATTTTGTCCCCAATAAAGTTGAATATTGTCTATTTGGCACAAAATTCTAATTTGAATCAAATCCAAAATAATCTTTACCAATCGCGACCGCCTCTGCGAAATAAAATATTTCATACTTAACTTACATTTTCTGTGTGACGTAACTCGTCACCGTTTTAGCACAAAAACACTTTTATAAAGTATACTTTTAGATTTACATAAATCTATAATAATCTATATCTAGCAATATCTGAGAAAATAATCTCTTTTTACATCACTGTATATAAACAAGGCGTGACTTGTTATTTTTTATTTATTTTCATAAATCTTTTATCGTGTATTTACAGAACACTTATCCTAAAAGTTCATAGAACGTACGATTTAATATAACACAGTTATATGGGATAAACATTACCAGCTTTCGGTGAGAACGATGACTCTGTTTAGAGTTTATACCGTGAGGTGCATCGTTATCGCTTAATCGCCGGTAAAAAAAAAACTTAAAAACTAATTAAAACGAGTCCCGTCCAATAGAATTCTGGGGAAAATTACCTTTCCCGAATTATATGGAGGGTAAGTACGACGCCTAATAGTCCGGGTCTTAGCGAAGGACGCTAGACCGAGACGTTCAGCTGTCAACGAGTTTGCGCTGCGTTGAGTTTTGCGTGTGCGCCGCAAAACGCAAGTAGCCATCGTTTTGACCGCATTACCGCGGCTCACGTACATATTTACAATAATTTACATTTCTTACAAACTAAAGTATTGCAGGCGATTATAAGCAGTACGGATGACAGAACTGGTACACCAGCCTCTGACTGCGCTCAGTTTTCTTCATGATGCCCTTCTTGTAGTATTGCCTGATGCTCCTGGACAGTTTGTCGTAGTTCATCGCTGGCCTGTTCTTCCTCTTGCCCCACAGCCTGGCGACACGTACCGAATCCTCAATCTTGAAGACTCCGTTACCTGCGAAAACACGACATGAATTAAGCAACGTTTGCTAAATTTATTCCATTGCTAATCGGATCGAGAGTTTGTTTTTCGGAGACAGACAATATTCCACGTTTTAGAGATTTAAATAAATTAACTAAATTCTTACAAATAGTAATGACTATAACATAGTATGTTTAAAAATCTTTGTAAGTTAAAACCTCTAGCATAAATAAAGTTTCGCATTATAATCAGATCTTACTCCCGGGAATATTATTACGGATTACCTTGAATGATTTCATATAATATCAGTATAACCTGTCTTTCATGATGGAGCTTTTCATTTAAAGTTTTTATAGGATTCCCCTAATAATTATCCCAAGCAAAATAATTCCAATGACGATGTTTTATTTAACACTAGCTTTCCGCCCGCGGCTTCGCCCGCGTGGAATTTTGTCTGTCACAGAAAAACTTTATCGCGCGCGTCCCTGTTTCAAAAACCGGGATAAAAACTATCCTATGTTCTTTCCGGGGACTCAAACTATCTCTATGCCAAATTTCATCAAAATCGGTTGCGAGGTTTAAGCGGGAAAGCGTAACAGACAGACAGACAGACAGACAGACAGACAGACAGACAGAGTTACTTTCGCATTTATAATATTAGTTGGGATTGCGTTAAAGTACATCGTCTCTTAGGCCAGTCACGAAGCGGAGGAGTAACATTTCAGCTCGGTTTAAAGTATTTCGCTAAGTACCTCACAGATGGCGAGTAACTGGCTCGCTCACCTTGGCTCTCAGAATGTCGCTACACAAATAAATTTTCCAACAATGAATTGGAGGCATACGTTTAACATTTACGATGATTGGTACACTGAAAACGTTCAATTCAATAAAGCAACTGGAAAAACCCTTGTTATATTCTTGTAGATTCCATGTCAATAGCCAATTATAGCAGCTTGGAACAAAGGAAGTGTGTAGCAACTAGTTTGATGTTTATGATTAATCATTTACTTGAGTATACAGTGACAAGTTATCTGAACGAGTTTAACGAACTTATTTACTCGTGATGATATTTTGGTATGTGTGAACTTAATCTAAGAAGGTGATAACGAACTCCAAACACGAAAATAAATAGGTAAGTAACTAACAAACAACGAGCCAGAAAAGGAATGTAATGGAACTCTGAACTCCCCTATTTTAATTCAAGTTTTGCATTATCTTTTTGTTTTATGGCTTAGGTTGACGACAGAAACTTAGGTCATAACCCTGGTGTCAGAAATTATGGTGGTAATAGTCGTTTGAAATGGCGTAATAATAATATAGCAAAAAAAAGGCTTAGAATAAAGGCTCTCCAATGCACCTTAAAATGCAACAGTGTGCTCAATTTTGGAAATGGAAACCATGATTTCCCGAATCAAGAGATTCTAACTCTAACAAATAGAGCATGGAGGCATTGCATTATGGATAGAAACGTCCAAATGACAGTACTTAGACATTTTTCAGGCCAATGCAACAATGTTGAAACACATTTTGCTCAAGACAAAGGACATTTTAAGAGCGTTGTCACATTTTTCATGCAGAAATCGAGAATTTGGCAGATTTCGAAATGATTTTAGTCATATAATTTATTGTTATAGCTTCTTTTGACTTATATCATCGTAATAATCATACGTTTTTACGGAATGTCTATTGACAAAATCTCGTTCAAATTGGATTTTTGCCTACGAAAACAGCGAATTTCGAAAGCCCGATTTCCAGGTAACTCGCGAAGGCACAACTTTGAACTAATATTACAACAAATTTATTGCTAAGTAAGAAGATTGAATGTATTCATTAGAATAAGCATACCCTGAAAAAGAAAGTGTATTGAGAAAATTTTGATGTTTAATTCATTAAAATGCATTTTTATCATGTCTAAGATAGTCAAAATTCGAGAAAATTACTGCAAGAAAACAGGTCACATCTCATAATCTAAAAGTCATTTGGCAACATAAACTACTTTATACTTAAGAAGAAACATAGTACTATTATTGTGTGAAAAAGAAAAAATATCTATCTTCAATCTTCAAATGAAAAATTAATTTGAAAATACTATAAAATCGGGTGCATCAAATGGCATAAATCAGTCGTGCTTTGGCACTCGTAGACGCCGGGTCTATGNCCCCCGGGACAAACTTGACCTTCATTGGTTGGGTTTTTGTGGCGGTCAAGCTGTAGATCCTGGCTACACAGGAGTTGCAGTGGTGGGAACGAGAGGTGGGAATAGTCCCGATGCCTCCGTAGCTAATAAAAATTCATTACAAAATTTTTTCGTTAGAAAAATAGTTGACTACAAATTGCGATCTCAGAAAAACTAAGTGTCATATGCGTCCCACATGCATACTAAAAGAGCACTGAAGATTAACGTCTAAACTCAGCATTATTAAACAATTTAGGGGCATTAAGGGCCGGGTAATGACACTGGCGAGAAGAAAAACGGCAACAAGCAGAGTCTTGAGCATTCTAAGAACTGTAAAGTTGCCAGTAATCTGTTCCATGAAGCAAAGAGGCTAGACATGTCTGCTCCACATGATGATGATATTATTATTTTAAAATGCTACTCGACCACAAAGTTATGAGCTCCTTTTAAAAGGAACAGGCTGTGATTTACACACATACACAAAAAAGCAGTTTCTCCAGCTTTATTTTTCCTATAGTCCCATTGCGTTTCAACAAAAAACCGCTTCGATTCAACGGAAATGTATTTTTACTTTTATGCTATAAACAAACTCTATTTTGACACCAGCCAACCTTCAGTATTGTCTATCTGTACAAACATTCAAACGGTTCAGACAGATAATATTTACACCGACGGTAAATAGCAACATTCTATTTAGAGAAGAAAGCCGTGTGTAGAAAGGAATGTTACATAGAATTTGAGGAATATAAGGTTTTGCGAATAATTCACGCGAACATGGAACCTAAGATACCGCTAACAGAGTCGGTATTCAGGCTTCGCTTATTGGGAATAGTGACTGAAGGTAGTAAAGAGATAAACGAAAGAAACATTGAACAAAGTGAGACTTACGACTCAAAGCATGCAGCCACAAACGTTGGATTTCTTAAAGCACTTTGAGCCGTATTTAATGGGGATAATAGGAATTTTTGTGATGTCGGCAAATCTATCGTGGCCAATACAACCTTGTGAGTCCGGTGACACCACTCATACGAACTGGGTCGTCGTAAAGCGTGACAAAAACTCGGCTGGACGTATAAGGGATCAGCTGGTATACCGTCTAGAGCCAGGGACAGAAAACCAATAGGGACAAGGTCTGATTGATGGATTAACTGTAACAGGCGTGGTTCGCTCAAATAACATGGAATTTAATGCGCATTATTGTAAATTGTTGGTCATTGATTTTAAAACAGTTCTACTTCAATTATACGTGATTCTGTCAGGTATCCATCATCCAGATTAATATCATCCTTTAATGTATTATTGATAAATATGGGATGATTTGAAGATATTATAGATGTGATTACGAAATGGATCGAATCAAACAAATATTGATTGAAAGAAATGCAACAGGAGTTATTTATTCGGTTCTTTTCCATTAATCTCATGATTGGAGCATGTATGAGTTTCTTCGCAAAAGGAATAATTGTAGGCTGCTATTTCCTGTGGTGCGGCCTAGCACTTTTTTATAGATTAACTGTGAAGAGGAAAGTAGGTGCGGAGTGATTGTTTATCTCTTACATGAAGTTAAATCTTTACTACTATTTCCTGTACTTGCAATTGGAGATTAAGTCCTACCATATTCATTTTTCATTCATCCCGTCCTTCTTTCATTACACATTCAGAATTGATTTGAGATTTATGTTTTTGCAATTCTTGATTATTTTATATTAAGACCGAAACATTTTATTATTGCGTAGTTCTTGACATGTCATCATTTTAGAGTTTAACTATAAGATTTCCTTCTCTAAAATTATGCATTTGTCTATTATTATTATTTGTTTCTTTCACATTATGTCATCGTCATCAATCCTTACTGGATTAGTTCTAACACTTGGTTATTTATCATTAGCAAGTTCTGCAGCGTCAGTTGTGTGTGTGTCGCCATCATCTACGAGTAACGGTCAGCCACAATGTTCTGATGCATCGCTGTTCCACATCGCACTGACACGTGTCAGGTTATCCACTTTTTATTCTTCTTTTACTTATCTAGATTACCTTATGCTTACTGAATTAAGTGTATCTTTCAATAACATGTTTTGGTGGGTTCAATCTCAATGACACTATATTAGGTAGGTAACTAGATAGTAAATGAACTACTAGGTTTGAACATCTTCGAAAATACGAATATAATAAAGTCAGCGGTGATATTTTTAGACATGATTTCAATGCTCACTACTTTATCGTACCTTAATAATGTTCGATTCGATGATAAGGTAAGCGTATTATGGAAAGAGCATTGACAAAATGTGGTTTGTAGGCAATAGGCTAGTTGCCTAAAAAAATTTTTTTAGTCCGTAATGTTTAATATCAAAAAATATTGGACACGTATAATTTTATTTGTCAATCTAACAAATAATTACATAGTTATGGTGCGTTGAAGTTGCGCACGACGTCACAACGTGCGGCATTTTTAAGCTAGCGTTGACGTCACGGGCCTCTTCTTATGAACTTTGGGGCGCTTTATCTCTTTAAATTTTCATTAGTTTGAAAAAATGAAAAATAGGAGTAGAGTATTTTTTGATAAGTTAACTGACGGACTAATTAAAACTCTTGCTTTTTGACCCAGGCAACATCCCCATTATTTTAATTTTGTAAGTACGTACCATCACTCATGTCGTCAGCTGAGGGTAGACCGGCAGGTGTGGGGTTCGGGGAGGGCTGTTGATGTTCAGACCACTGTGTAGGCCTCCAAGCTTCATGTCGGGCAGCCTTCCAAATTTCCAGTTGTGCGTACAGTGTGCTTCCAGCCTAAAACAAAGCAATATCGTTAACACGTGACCAAATGCCTTATGATGATAACCATGAAATTATATTTGATAACCTCATTGTGACGTCTTACAATGAAAAGAACACCATCAGCTTTGTGATGAAGATAAAGATTTTTCTTATAATCCCAACTAAAGTTAATAGTCAACTATTGTATCTAAACAACTCTTATGCAAGTAATTCGATAAGATTTCGAAGTGGGCAGATGTAAACAAGTCGGTATTTGTATGCAAGTACGGACGACATCACGTCAAGTTAAACACTGTGGGATCTTAAATAGTTGTAATACGGGCTATGTTGTGAGAAAATATATAGACTGATGTGCCGATGTTTGTACAAGGAACGTGCGCGCGCGCAGACTTTCATCGGCCTTGGAGAAAGTCTGAGCAGCGGTGCGTACCTTATCTGCTATTACCCGGCCGCTTACATAGCCATGTACCGAGACTAGACTACTCTTAAACCCACATCTTTAAAAATCGATCGGATTATATAAGTTGTGACAAAAAGATTCTTGTCATCAAAGTTGCAAATATGATAATTGATAGGTATAAGAATTTATAACCTTGATCGTGTAGTCAGGAGAACTGATAATGAAATAACTCTTGAAGTAGTGTTTGTGGATAAGTAATGCCTAGTTAAGGATAATCTTAATAGAAAGGAGGAAAACCGAATTGTAGCCGCTGACATAACAATTACAAAACTTGTTTACAAACAAGCTGCAATGCAACGAAGCGAATTGCATAATAAATAACCCGGTCAACCCTAAACGGATTTCCTCTGAAGCCTCAATATGAAGGCTGCATAAATATTTTTTATCTCTTTCGAAGTAGACCGTGGTTTGGCAACACTCATAAGTTATTATTTTGAAAATGCTATGATATCGGTAATGCGTCCAAAACGTGATGTGCTTAAAACATACCGTTTTAGTTAACAAAGGTATAGTTTATAAACTGATAAGTTAGGTAAGTAGGTACCAATTAAATACTGATGTTATGACTTTGATAAAATGTAGGTACAATGACATTGTTAAGAAAACAATATCGATAATATTTGATCTATCATTATTGGTATAAAAATAGCAGTTAAATTGTCAAGTTACGGCGTAATACTTGTATTTAAAAAAAGTGGATGAGCCTTATACTTGAAGAACAACTTAAGTTTACCGACATTAATAAAATGAATTCGAAGAATACAGCAGTGATGTAAGCTAATCGTTGCCAAAAAACATAGGAAGCAATTATTGAAATGGGTGTTGATGATCTAAGGAGTAGTCTTCGGATTGATGGCACTAAATAAGTGTTTGAAGATTTTAATGACATCAAATCCAAATCTGTTATAGATCATTTATCACCACCAAAAATAATCGGTACCAATATCAAGCTAATTGTTTTAACAAAAAATGCTTCGGCCAAAAAATACACACTGATAACAGCAAAGTAGTTTTAATAACAAAGATACAAAAGATTTTGCCGAAGTTAAAACATTTTATGTTATGATGACTTCTGTAGAAATAAAGGTCACCGAATTAATGTTTACTTGACTTAACTGAGTAAACTCAATGTTTATCGTGTACACATGAATCAATCTAGTAGACTTTGTACCGATAACGTACGCCCTCGATTGCTCCCAGGGTTAAATTATTATCGCAATGAAAATAAACTGTTTCTCTACGATGTTCTTCGTCACTTAATTGCGCCTTACATCATTAAGGTATATCAAATGTTTTTGCTTAGTAATTACTTACGTTTGCTTGTAATATTTAAGTAACTTGATAGTGTTCTTTTTTTAGTCTGACTGTCAATGCTCATAATAAATATCATCAGCCAATCCATAATTGAAATCACATCATACTTAATTTTTATTGCAAAAGAGCACCTATTACACTCACTCAATAAAGATACTCCAGTGTTTACATTGACATGCCGTTGTCTGTACATAATATCTGAATTTGTATTTTAATTGTTTCTTACTTGTGGTGCTCTCTGATTGAAATCCTCTTCTGTTAAAGCAACTAGGGCAGCTCCGTCCATAGCGAAATATTCTGTAGGTACCATCGGCAGGTTGAAGTGTTGCAATGTGAACATGACCCACGCTTTTACGTCAGCAGTACTCCATAGCATAGGATCTGAAACAAACTTGGCATTTAGAGAGTCGCACTCGACTTAACTTGTACCTAAATGATGATTTAAATTTAAAATTATAGACAGATTATAATTAATTTTACGATCAGCATCATCAGTACTTAAGTTAACATAAACATCAAGTGGATGAGCATCTTACGTAACCAATCGTTCCATCGCAATTCTCAGAATCAATTTATAAACGCGTTGTTCTAAGCAGTAGCTGACATGTTATCTACATAGAAACGCTGATTTTTTACCGCGTTGAGGTCAGAGTGACGTCATTAATAATTGCCGCCTGTAGTACTGATGTCGAGATATACGGCTACTACGTTCCCATGTCATTTCAATTCATATTCATCGTACATAATTCAAGTTACATTCTTTGCGTATGTTATACCTACGTGACTGTTCGTATTCTCGCCATTTATAGCTATTCAACCTTTAGTAAATGACTAATGATTTCGGTTGACTCACCTGGTGAGATTCCTAGCACCGTGCAGGTATTGTCCATGTCTCGTTTTGACTGCTCGATGGCCATTGAAAGGACGCGGTCAATGTCTGGCGCTACTAAAGGTTCATCGCCTCCGCTGCTTTCTTCCATTTTGACAGTCCCTAATTCTAAGGGGATAGGTTTTAAGTTAAACCGCTTCTGGAATGTAGTGTCTTCGAGGGCAGATCTGAGGAGAATGTGATCCCGTGGTTCTTCCACTTCTATTTTGGGTGTGATATAATTTTGCTGAACGCTCTCTTGTAATATTTGGTTCTCTTTGAGTAGTTCTTCAATGTCAATGTACTCTTCGTGTTGTGGTACGGGGGAGGAGTATTGATTGTGGCTGCCGTATGAGGCGCATGAGCCTGACGGGGATAGGGGGTAAGGTGAGGCAAAGCCGGGAACCGCTAGTCTGTTTGGTTCCTCTTTGATGTAGACTGGAGGGGAGTTGAATTGATGTGAGTAGGGTGAGGCTGGTTGCAGAGCCACTGTAGGGATTGAGCCTTCGTCTGAGGAAGGGGAAGGTGTGGGGTATCCTTCGAAGTCGTAGAGGCGTTCTAGGATGTTGTTGTCTTCTGGATAAGGCGGTGGTGGTTTCGCGTGTGGGTTTGGTGGGGAGTGAAGCATCGGTTCTGGTGGCGACGCTGCTCCTAGGAAGCGAAGGAGGTGGTGGAGGTCCACAGGCGAAGCTGGGACCGCCCTCTCGCCCTGGGATGCTGATGGTGGGCTGCACCCAGAACGGGGCACTGTTTGTGGCATCTGTTGACAAAGGAAAAACACTTATAAGAATTGGTTTCTAAGAATGAAAATCACGTGGCGGTTACACGACCAGTGCAAATTCTACGAGCAAATAAGAGCAACTGGGTGCTAATTTCATGTTTTAACTTTGAATTTGTCGCTGGCTGTAAAAATTTCGCCAACAGCAACTACGTCACAAAAGCCCTGCGTGTGATCTGACGCACCTTATAAAGAACCAGATGTCCTAAACATTTTCATTCAGACCAACGTCAAATCTCCAGATGTCGTAAACAATTTCAGGCGTTGTATATTTTAACGTTACGTCAAGACTCTACATATATTTAGGAGCGATGATTAATGAAGATTAAAGATTTAAAAACGGTTGGTCGTTTAAAATGGTATTCGCTATTAATGGCTTAAGTATGTTAATATCGTAGAGTAAAAAATATAACATTAATTGTATGGCGCTTAGACTTACTACTTTAATCGTATTGAATTTGAGATCTAACGCACAAGCACATTTATATTTATTTTTAAACGTCTACTTGTCTGAAAATCTTATTTTTTATTTATTTTTGTTTTTTATTATTTCGACTCCTAATTAGTGATACAAGTATATTTTTTGTATTTTATCACTCACTCTTAACAAAGTCAGTCCCATCTCAGCCGCCACAAAGCACCCACTAAGCCACTCTTGCGCATCTCTCACAATGAAAGCCATTTCAGGTCCGACCGGTCCGTTGAGCTAATCAACTATGAGCATTATCATGAACTGGATACATAAAACAATAGCAGCTATTTACATGTTTCTCATGGGTAGGTATTTATAACGCATTATCTACTACTAGTACTAATAAGTGTTTTTCATTATAATTCCTACGCTTTTTTTTATTTGATCATACTGAAGTTCAAAGAGCGCGCGGCGCTAACGGTTTTCGCATTGCTCTCGCCTAATTTTAATTTATTCCTACACTATTAAATTTATAAGTTAGAGTTTAGGGTTCCACGACAGTAAGCTATCCCTCGGGACTACTCAACCTTCACTGGAAGCCAAGCTGTAGATCTTGGCTGTACAGGAGTTGCAGACACGGGAAAGAGAGGTGGGATTAGTCCCGTTATTTGATAAGTTCCTTTTATGTGAATTAACTGTTCAAAACTTCAAATACATACTTTCTCCGCGTGACTAGTATAGAAAAGATGCCCATACTAAAACTTGTACAGTTTATTAAAGTTTGTTTTGGAAAGTTTTTCGAGATAACAATGTAAATCTTATTGGGAAAGTTGTTGTTTTGGCGAAGAAAATTTATTAGTTAGAAGAAAGGACATTATTAATGACTGGGATTTATTTCTTTGCTTTGCAATGTAAATGAATTTTTTAAATAGGTTACCAAAACATATTTTCGTAAATCATCCAACGTTAGCAAATTAGTTACTTGAAATTAATTTAAGATAAAAATCTTTTATGAAAAATGCGGAAATATGTATTAAATTGAACATTTGAGGAATGTAGTCAAACAGGCAAGATTATGATTTTGGCATGCAAATGTTGGCAAAAATAGTTTTAAAATATTCTAGTTAAATCCATGCGTACTCAAAATAATGATCTTAAAATATGATGACAAAAATATAATTTTCCTTGCGTTTGATGTAAACAAACATAGGGTGTCAAATTCGCCGTAAAAAGTAAATAACTTATTGTTTTATATTTCTTTTAAATACTGAATGAGACAGCATGTCAATTTATAATGATTTTAACAATTAGCAGCCGGTATTTTTACTACATATATTACGTTACATATGCTAGTGATTTTAAATGTATTCTGCAATTAGCGTACGTTCCTCTCAATGACTTTATCTTAATGAATTGTACTATATCATCAGTAGTCGTTACTTTTGTGGCTAAATAATTTGTTCAAAAACAAGTTACAACCTTTAAAAAGTAATTTTGATAATCTTTGCCTAACTTTCTTTCTCTCTCTCTCTCTCTCATTAATTAAAGCACCCAAAAGTGAATGAACAGGTTGAAAAATATCTTAATCGTTTGCTGAATCATTATCAAGTACATTAATAATTCAACTAGTTAGTAACAAACAGATTAATATTGTGCAAGTCATCTTAACTAGTAGAAATTATTTTAGTTAAACCAATACCAATACTATTTATAGTAACTAATTTACGTTTGAAAGCCAAAATATTTGTATCTTTTTAATCACAGATAAAGATTAGGGACGAAGACCTGCAGGTTATGTGATAACTTGAGACATTAGAAGCCTGATAAGTCTGTAAGCAGCGTTGTGACGATGTTATAGTCGATAAAATAAAAGACCCTACTCTCTCGATAATTTCTTTTATTATCTAATTTTCTTTGATCTTTGGTCTATTATTATCTTACGGTGGCATAGCTAGCTCCCTTTGTTGGTGCTCATAGTATTATTTTGATAACACAATAACATAATTGTAATGTTACTGCAAACATTTTGTAACTTAATAGTGTTGTCTCGATTTTATCCCAGCCCAACCTCCGTTACATTCCACATCCTCATTTTACGCGTCGCCAAGGAAGTAGGCCTAATTCTAAAAAAACTAGACAATGTTGATGCTGACGTCAGCTAGCCGGTCGTGACTGTTCGATAGCCTGATACAATTCGAGACCTTGGGGTTTTCATGCGTACGCGGTGAACGATCCGTGAATGAGGGATTACGATCAATGGAACTGTTTTGACTGACTGACGAAGTTATGTGTGACTCTCTTTATCGAAATCTGGAGAAGAGAGATCATTGCCACATCCTTTCGTACTTATGATGGAACTGTGACTGTATATTGGCACTGCATTATCCCAGCTATTCATGAAACTTCTTTACATATAGACTCTATCCTCTTTTGTCTCTCACAGAAGTCTCATTCTTCTTCAATGATGAAACTGTAACTGCTAAATTGTCATACATGAATATTGACTCTATTTTTATTTGTTTCTCATCAGAAGTTTTATAAAAGAACTAATTATCTATAAGTATCTCTAAAAATCATCACAGACTTCAAGTAAAATAAAACTGGCGCTACGTCGATATCTTATGGGATATCTTCAACCATCTTCATCTAATATCTACACACGCACGATAGATTGTCAAATCCAACAGCAGCATTCTGTTGTTATCACTAACAAGTACTGCCACACCTACCAATGGTTTTCATGGCCTTGACATTCTCGACGTTTGAACGGAGGATCACGATCAAGCAGTGGTGGTATGCTGCTTATTGTTTGGCTCCCACGTACGTGGAATAGTAATTCTTTGGTCTGAATTAGAAGACTTTACATTATGTAATATTGTCTTTATTAAGCTCTTTACAAATGCCAGCAGATATTTTTACTGCAAGGTCACACCTATTACAATATACCGTCGTCTACAAAGTATTTGTCATAGCTTCTAAGTTAAGCTTTTGCGAAATAACAGTCTCATATTATCAAAGAAGAAACGACAATGTCTTCATACAGTTCTTTTAATCGTTACTTTACAACTACTCGTAGCTCTTCTAACACCAAGTTTGACATCTCCAATTTCTAGAAGTAGCTAAACGACTCTAGATTCTATTGCATAAAGCTTGCATCTTCAGAAAATTGTAAAGGCTGTACAAACGAGAGCAGCGTCTCTTTGTATTCGAATCTATACCTTACTGCTTTGGGTTTAGATCGGTGCACAAAAGATCCACTAGTTAACTGACTGGTAGTTTTGGAAAGAACATGTTTTCTATTCTAAACCATAATGCAATGGGTTAAGGTTTATGCTTCGAATGTTCGAAGAGTTACTGACGGAGCACCGTAAAGCAGTTAAGGTAAGAACCTTAGCCAAATTTAGCATAATCCAACAATAACCACTCGGCTCTCGTTGCGATGCCTGCTTGAGATTAAACGTAATTGCCCATTAGTTTGTGTTTTTTCTTTGTTACCACCTTAGAACCAGATCTATCTAAAGTTTTTGGGTTTCCCACATCCAACGTTATGCTTTTGATGACAATTTATGGCACTGGTTTGGTTTAATGCCTTTGGTTATGTTAGTCGCTGTCTGTTTACATTGGATCTTGAATCCTCTTTTATTAGAATGTCAAACTTAAGTTTCTTTTTTGTAAATGGCAAGCACATCTATTAAAAATATTGATTGCGCCATCGAATCAAACAAGTTGACTCTGGTATTAAACGTGAATGAAGTTCCATAACTGTACAATCAATTGATAATATAATTCATTGCTTGTTTGTAATATTATAATACTTGGTAAACACACTTGTTACTTGTTAAATTATTAACAAATTCCAAATAACCTTACATAATGTTTGCTCTGCCGGTGAACGTCAATTAAAATGCCTTCTCAAAACCGTACCGAAGCCACAAAGTGGTATTAGGACACACACTCCTATCCTCGATCTTACCTAACGCGTAAACTGATCAACTCACTTGATATAACCAACTTTCACCCTCCATATTAAGTCAACGTTAATGTCACTTCAATATAAAAACAGCAAAAACCGCACTCACAGAGTCACGTCCGAATGTCAAAATGCGCCGGTACCGCGTCCATGTTGCAAGTTAGAGGTTAAGCCGGCCGGTGTATACGATATGATTTGCGTAACTAAAGATTTTTTTGGTCCATGAGTGCGTGTGCACGGCGGATAGTTCACACAGCCACTGAGCGATACTCAAGCGCCGGAGTCTGAGCTCAATGGACCTGCGTCATAGCGGGAAGTACGCTCAAACAAACTAATATAACTTTTAATAGAACCTACATCGGAACAACGCGTCACACTGCATTCAATTATTTGTATGACGTCTTAAAATCGATTGTTAATTTCCACTATTTAGTGCATTGATTTGTTAATGAATATTTTGGTGATTGAAGGTTCCACTTCCTAAAGCAGAATTGGTAATAACTAGAAAGATACTTCCGTGACTTTTTACCAATCTATATCATAATTATGTTCTAGGTAACGTCAGCTGATATCATAAAGCCTAAAAAGTTGTTATATCGA